AAGCACTCACTGCCACTAAAGAAAACGCCTGAGCAGTACTTCAGGGTACTGCACTGCTACCAGTGTCCTGGCTGCCCAGAATGCCCTGGTATAATGCTGAGACCAAAGCAGAGTCACTTCTTTGTGTGCTTCAGTTCCCAATAACCAGCAAGAATCTCTCTCAAAAGAGTGGGAAATAGACATCATAGCAGAAATTTTCTCCAACGAACAAGGAAATGGCACTCCTAGAGTCTCCCTGAGCCACATAAAAGCAGCAGGGCCCATCCTCCCCTGCAGGCACTCACAGCTCAGAGTCCCCGAGCCGATCCATGTTGGCCACATATGCAGGCAGCTTGTGATGCACAACTGCTTCTTCCACTTCCAGTTCCTCTTTCTTCATGCGGGAGGATTCAGCCTGCAAAGCAAATAGCTACAAGAGAAGAAAGAAGCAAATAAGTAAGCAGAAATTACACCAGAGTGCACCACTTTCCTACAGGCTGAAGTTGTTCATTCTTCTAATTTCAAGGGTCTTAGACGGTCAGGGAGGGAAGAAAGTTGCTGTGACCAGCTGAAGATCACATCAGTCCAAGTAGTCAAAACAACAGTACTTTACAGATATGAAACTGAAGCCTGCTTAAAATCCTCTACTCCTCTCCTTGGGCTGTTGCTGTAACGGCATTAACTGTGCTGGGAAATGAGCTGGCCTGGGCAGCCCGGATCAGCCTGCCACTGCACACAGGCAGCTCAAAGCCAAAGCCCTCCACATGACTGGTGGCAACCATGTGCAGGCACCAAGCCTAGAAGGTAATCTCCCTCCCACAGCCCAGGGCTTGGCAAGATGCCTGGGTGCACTGTAGCCAGTGTCATCAGGCTACCTTGAAATCCAGCTCCACACCCTGCTCAGGTCACACTGTACATTTCTCAAATCTCTCCAATAATTACACTTTTACATCTTCTCTATAAGCATCTAGGAAAGGTAATATCAAAATAAGATAGAGCTGGGGGACATCTTGCTTGAGCAAGTCAGTGTTTCTTGCAGTTTCCTGTAAGATCTAGAATTGGGAAACAGATATTCACATTTGCATTAGTTCAACTAGATTATTTTATGTCCACTTTGACCATGGTAAAGTGGCTATTTCAGCAGGAACAGCTTCTGCCTCTTCACTGCAGGGTACTGCCACTTTTTACTGTGCTGTCAGCTAAATTTTGGAGGTGACCCTGAATACTCTCCGTAAGTTTCAGCATAAAGTCCATCACACAAGCACTTTACCTCCCACTACTTTCAGCTTGTCAGAAATGCCAGTGTAGCAGAAAAGGCATTTGCACAGTGTCTGCACCCAGTAGATAGCACAGAGAGAGTCACCTCTCACAGAGTCACCTCCAGCAGAGGCACAGTGATGTCCTACACAGACATATCAGTTACCATATGACCACTGCCCTAAGCTTGCTGGAGGCAGTTGAAAGATTAACCAAAAGAAAGGATTTATATAAGAATCTGCCTTGGAATAACTGCTCTAAATTGAAGGGGTACAACTTGTTTGGACACACAAACCCAACATCACAAAACACACATTTGCTGCCTTAAACAGCCAGCAAATAAAGAGTGACTTCAATTCTGACCTTATGCCGCAGGGATTCATTTTCTTCTTGTATGAGGCTGCTTCTGTGACATTCAGCTTCAAAGTTCAGAATGACTGGCACCGGTGAGAAACGTTAAAGAAAAACTCAAGGCAACAACTTGCCTTGACTCTAACAAACTTCACAGCTAACCCTCATCACCACTTGCCTTAAAGACAGCAAAAGTGCTCAGTCTATACCATCAGAGAGAAATATCTGAGGCCAGAAGAGTAGTAACAATATTGGGCTATCACTACACACCGCTGTGAATGGATACACCCAGACAATGGTCTAAGAGGAGACAGCTCTGGACCCAAGGTTGCACGCCTGTTTTGTACTATGCCATGTAACAAGATTTCTGACTGCTGTTCTAGTCAGAAGCAAAGGTTTGAGTTCAGTGTTAGCAGCAACCACAATCGTTTGTGCCCAGGGAGCATAACATGTCATTAGATAATTGAATAATAACTATTCTAACATCCTCTGGAAAACACCAGCTTCCTATTAAGGCGCGGCCCTGAAATTACCTGAAAGCAACAGGTTCTGTAATATTGTACTCTTGGCACTAAGAACAGTAAGCGTAACACTAGAGTAAGAGAGATTTAACCATTAGTTACCAAAAAAAGGATATGCATGCACTGAAATAAGACACTCAGAAAGTTGTGCAGAGACACAATAAATGTATCTGCCCACTGGCGTGAAAAATAGGTGGCGAAGGTGGGGTTGGAGTCCGGGGCAGGGAGGAAAGGCAGGACAAACCAATCCTTCCACTCTGCCTGGTTCTGCAGCTCAGAGGCCTGCTTGAGGAAGAACTCCTGCGCTTTGTCATTGCGGCCGGTCTGAAATACAACAGGAACAGCTCTCACACTTCCAGCCAAACCAACCTGCAGGTACCTAGAATATTGTTTGAGTGATGAATGCAGTAGAAACTACTTTCACTACCCAAGAGAGCAAGTGGTTAGATTTCAGGTTCATCTGGGAACAAAAGAATACACTAGATACGCTAGAAGAAGCTCCCAAATATGCTTAATCCAACCTTTTTTCTACTCACTGCAGTCTTGTTTAAAGGCTGGGGAAATGGATCAAGCCAATTCTTCACACGATTTCCAGCTAAACCAGTGCACTCTGCATACTTACCTAAGATGCAAGTTCACATACATTACTAAAGTATACTTCAAATTGAACAGTTCCACCACAGAAGCACCCTGAAGAAATTCATCTGATGCATTATATTTGTTATAGTCACACTCCAAGTTAAGTCCAGAATAAGAGAACAAAACCACATTTCCAGAAATATGCATTAGATTTTGCTTCCTCCCCCAGCATTCATAATTTCAAGTTTTCAATCAAGGGGGAAACATTACCCATAAGTTTTAAGAAATTGAACACTCTTGACAGGTGCTTGTCTACCCTGCTTGCCAGTGCTCTCCCCATGCAATACTTTTTTTTTTTTTTTTTTTTTTTTTTTTTTTTTTTTTTCTTTTTTTAAGGCATCATTGAGATATTTCTGCTCCAACTTGAGCTTACTATTTTCTCTTCTATTCAGAAGGGGGAAAAACAGTTTCGCTTTCTCTCCCACGTTACCTTGTCCAAACTTGAAGCTCATTTCTCCCTCTTTTATCAACTAAACTCCAACCCTACCATCTTTTCTTTGAGACCCTCCCACTCTCTCATTCCTCAGGAGCTGTAGTTCACATAAGGACTTTCTGATTCCTGCCAGCAGGAACACAGACAACAATCCTGCTTCTTCATCCCTTCAGCTGCAATGAAACCCTCCTATGCAGCACTGCTATCTACTCAGCCACTCCCACCTGCCCCACCTGCACGGTATGGACGAGGTAGTATCGATACAGGCTGGTTTTCAGCTTGTTCACCGTCGGTCGGTACACGTCTTCCAGCCGGCTGAAGAGGCGGCGATCCAGGTAGCTCCAGTAGTCCCGCAGCGCAGCCAGGTCGTAGCTCTGCACGAACTGCTGCAGCTGCTCCACGATCTTATCCACCTGAGAGCGCAGGAGGCGGCTGCTGTCAAGCGAGGGCTCGCTCGGAAAACAGCGTTATTTTTGGACGAAAGGGAAGAGCCGTGCTTAGCCGACAAGACGGCAGCACAGCAAGAGGAAGAGGCGCCGCCGCTTCTTAGCGCCGTTACCCCGAACGCCATCTATCAGCGAGACGGGCACGAAGATCCCTAACGGCAGCCCGCCGCCCTCAGAGGACCACGCAGCGGTTCCTCGCGGCCCCGGTTCCAGCCCCGCCCTCACAGGGGACGCGGGACCCAGCCCGGCTCGGCGGCGGCGCCTCAGGGGAGCTGCCCCCAGACGGGCTCTCAGCCCCCCCGCCCCGCGGCCTGCCCACCGCCCCACAGGGAAGGGGCCGCGGCTCCCGCTCACCCGGAAGCCCTTCTCCCGGTCCGCCTTGATCTCCGCGTCCAGCTGCTTCAGAGCGGCGGTGAAGCCGCGGAACAGCAGATACTCGCGCACCAGCTCGTCCGTCCGCTCCGTCGCCGCCGCCATGGGCCCAGCGGCGCTGCCACCTCTGCCCGCCCACCGCTTCACGAGCGAGGCGGCGCGGCGCCGCCAAGACTACAACCCCCGGCGTCCCCTGCCGTGCACGCCCATCGCAAGGCACGATGGGAGCTGTAGTCCCCGCCGCTCGCCCATGCGCACCGCCCTCCCCCGTGCGTTCCACTCCCCCTCCCCTGCTTCTTTGCCCTCTTGCGGCCGCAGCCCGCGTTTTTGTCTGTCTCCCATTGGCCGCCGCCGGGCGCAAGCTGCGTCCCCATTGGCTGGCTGCCACGTGCGGCTCGTGTTGCTGGGCGCGGACAGGCAGTGGCTCGGCGGTCATGGGTGGGGCAGGGCGGGTTGCGCGGGGAGCGTGGTGTTTGGGAGCGGCCGTCGTCGTCTGTGGGATCCCGCTGTCTGCTTCGCTGCCGCCTCGCCCCTCCTGGCTGCTGAAGGAACGGCAGGAGAGGGAGTTGGTCTTATCCATAGGTGATACGTGCAATTGGTAACGGGGGGCATTGGACCAGTTTCGGGGAACTTCCCCTCAGTGAGCTGCAGGGAAGGGCAGGGCAGTGTGAGGGGAGGGAAGCTGTCCCGTCCTCAGAGCTGCCCCGCTGGGCAATGATCTGCACTTCCTCATGGTGAACTGGGGTAAGATGGTGCTGCAAAGGAGGCCGCTGTCTGGCGGCATCAGCCCCAGCATCTTGTGGGAATGGGTTATCCGACAGGGACAGGGCAGGAGGTGGGGTGCCACAATTTGAGGTTAGCAAGAGATCAGGGTTTAGTCAGAGCCTACAGACAGCATTCCTCAGGCAGAAGCCATCACTTCCCACTGTAAAACGCACCGCAGTGCTCGTGCATTCCCTTCGCTGTACCCAGCACGACCCCCCCATTGCGTTGCAGCCGCCGATGGAGGCAGCGGGTGGTTGCGGTGAGCTCTGTGCAAGAGCACGGCCCGCTCCCCAGGCGCAGCCGCAGGAGGTGGAGCCCCGCGCCGCACGCAGACGCCTGGCACAGGCCCAGCACCGCGCAGTGCTGGCGGGACTCTTCAGCAGCCTGCAAGAGACCGTGCTATCCCAGTCAGACAGCCCGGCCTCCAAGGTGCGGGGCGATGACTGCCTTTCTCCTATCTGTTGCTGTCATAGAATGGCTTGAGGAAAGGATCTCAAAGATCGCTTGTTTCCACCTCCCTGCTGTGAGCAGAGCTGCCACCCCTCGGGTTAGGCTGCCTGTGGCCTCATCCAAGCTGCCCTTGGGCGCCTTTAGGGATGGGGCATTCTGTCATAGACATGCGTTTCAGTTTATCTGTTGGGATCCCAAGGGGTGCCAGCATGTACATAATTTCAGTCTGGATAGATTTCCTGGATTCCTTCTGCTTTGCAGCTGCCAGCTCACCATGAGCAACTTGCTTAGTAGTCTCTGTGTCATGGGTTTATCATGTGGCTTGCCTGTGCTTTTCGTATGGAATTTTTGTAGTTTCTTCTTAGCCGTGTTTTGGATGTAAATCAAGGGATCCTATGATTCAATGACCTTGATTTCACAGCGTTTTGGTAGGAAATTGAGAGGAGTGAGTTTAGGGACAGATCAAGTTAGAAGGAAGGCAGTAATTCATTCAGCATATAAGGTACATTCTGTATCCAATAGACTGAGAGAATAAGATGGGGAGGGAACCCTTGTTCCTCCTGGCCTCTACTAAAATAAGAAACTATTTCTTTTAAAAAAAGAAAAAGAAATAAACAAAAATACTACTAAAAAGTTGCATAGTATCCTGCTGAAGGTAGGGGAATGACCATCAGGATTTTTCAGCTCTGCCACCAACTCATTTAGATTGGTCACTTTCACTTTTTCAGAGAGGATAGTGGCTTTACAGGATCATATTTGTAAAGTGCCTTGACATTCTAAGCATGCAAAGTGCTGCTGTCTGGGGCTGAGGCCCTTATCCCCCATGAAGTTCAAGGTAAGAATTCAGTTTGCCATACTCTGAAGGAGATGCAAATGTTAAGCTGAAGTCCCCACAGCCTCAGAACTAAGGCTAAACAGATACTTGTTTTGTCTCCTCTGACTGGACTGTCTTAATGTACCAATTCTTTGAACTACTCTTTGATAGTATCATGTGCCTAAGACATGACTTTGGAGGTGAGGTCCTAACTGCATAAGTTTACTCCTAATTCTGGTGCTTAGTGCCTTGCTAAAGTATGTGGTGTGAAAGCTCTGCCAGAGGGACCTCCTGTCTGAGCTGCCTGGGCGGTCCCACTGATCCTATAAATCTAGGAGCAATTTTTAGATGGGTGTGTTGAAAGGTACTGGCCATATGTTCTTCGTTATGCTGCAATGAAGGAATGATCTACAGCGCTTGTTATTCCAGCTGACATCAGTGCAGCTGGAGCAGAACATGGCAAGGGCTTCTAGCAAAATTCTCAGGAGAGGTGAATTATAAAGTCTTATACCTAAAGCTGGTAGACATCCAAGAGGACATGTTACAGCATGGTGTTTCTGGACATGCTCCAAGAAGATAATGATCCAAACAAGAACAGTTGCTGGTAAAAGATGTGACTTAAGTAGCAAATGGCTGTGTGACTAGGCATTATGTACATGTATTGTACAATATATTTATATTACAGAATATTTATCTTCTGAATTTAACTTTACTCTTAGATCTTTCTCCTCTTCATAAGGCTACAGGTAGATGGTGAAACATCACAGTCGTTTTCTCAGACACATGGAGATAACTGAGGGTCAAAATGAAGGAAAGAAATGAAGAAAGCAACTGAGTTGAAACATGAATTCAGCCAGAGCAGAGAGCAATCAGTTCTGTTTTCTTTTTGTGTTTAGTATCAGGTTTTGCGTAAGGCTAAGAAATATATCCAGGAGCTGGAGCAAACCTTGAGTTCTTTGCTGAAGATGAAAGGTACTGTATGCAAGTATTTGCCTCAGACAGTTTGTTAAGTAGAGGCAGGTAGATGCGTGGCTGCTCCCATTAAGCATTAGACTTTAATGGGGCTTCATTTGTAGCACAAGTGTTGTCAACCCAGTAAGCACTGTCCCTCAGATCCACAGCGATTCCCAGCCCTCCATGGCAGAGGAAGGACACAACTAACTTCTGCTGCCCCCAGCTGCAGGCAGGCTCCCCGCCTACCCCTGCACAGGCTGCGTACATAGGCTGGAGGAACAGGTGTGCTCCTTCCAGCCCCAGCACAGTATCAGTCAGAGCTGTTACACACCCTGCACTCCTCATCAAGCACAGCCAGAGCTGGAACTTCAGAGCTGGAGGCTTTGGTCTGAGTTAGAGGAACAAAAGGAGAGAGAATCTGTTGAGAGTTTCCTCACAAAAGTATGGTAAATGGAAGCCTTTAGTTAAGAATCTAGGCCCATAGGAGCAGGTAAGAGATGCTGTGGTTTGTTTTTGTCAGTTTTGCTTTCAGCTTGGCAGGTTGTGGTCATGCACTCCATGCCCTCACCAGCATGCCTGCTGCTCTCTGGTGCTGCTCACTCTCTCTGTTGACAACAAGAAGGACTGGGGACAGATGGATAGAGCTTTTGGACATATTTTTATGTCCCTTCACATATCCAGAATATGGTGTGCTAGAAAAGGCATTGCTGTTTGTGCAACTTGCAGTTCCAGTGTTTTGTATCAATTACAGATCATAATGCTTAAAACAAAAAAAGTCCTCTGAAACCACATATTTGGGTAACCCATAAAAGGCAACCATAGGTAGGAGGAGTCATTTGGAAGAGAAATCTGAAGGCTTCACAAGCAGTGGGGTGGCTGAAAAGAGTTTTGAAGTAAATTGCCCTTCATATTTACTTGCATATATGTAAAATTCATACCACTGCTGAATCACAGGGTGGGTTGTCCAGGGTTTTTATGTGCATTACATGACAATTATGAGATGTTGTATTGACTAGTGCTTGTTCTTGTTGGGACTTTTGATTTGCTGATTGTTTTCACCATCGGTTCTCTCACACCAATGTTAAAAGGAGGACATCTGAGTTCCTCAACAATCAGAAGCTCCCAGTAGTGGTAGTGATATAGGAGAGGCAGAGGTGTTGCATCTCACATCGCTTTTGCCTAATGAAGAGTTGTGGCTTCTGAAGGACCAGTTGTCAGATTATTCTGCTTGATTGGGACTGATGGAAGCCAAAGGCCCCACCAGTGTGACAGTTGCCTTTCTGCCAACAACAGAGTCCTTCAGCCTGGAGGATGGGAACCCGTCCAGCCTGGAGGAAGTCAGGGAAGAATATGTCAAGAGGCACTTCAGCAATCACAGGTAAGGGCTTAAACCAATCAGGGGAAGATGATAATACTTTGCATTTTCTTCCATCCCAGTGCCTCTTAGCTTCTTTGTCTTTGTTACTGAACTTCCAAGCAGAGGCCTTTCATCATGACAAAAAGACGAAGAGGTTTCTTGTGGACCCCTGTAATCTCACACAGCGCATGAACAGTGTTTGTATTTCCTTTGCCTCCTATGCAGCTCACCACAGACTTCTTATTTGCTTGCAGAGCAAAAGGATGGGGGAAAAGCTTGCTGGAAAGAATGGCCCTGGACCCTGGAGTGACCATGACAAAGACATTTTTAATCCAGTTAAGAAGTTGTTCATGTGGCTTTTTTTTTTTTTCTGTGTGTTCTTTTCAGCACTGCGTCGTCGGCCTCAGAAGCTGTGAGTGAGAGTGATTCTGCTGTCTGGTATTTGATGCAAGAATGTGAAAACCAAACAATGGAAGAGGACAGAAAGCCAGGATTTATCCAGTACCCAGAGACTTCATCCCCAGATCTGGTGGAATTTGAACGGTAGGTGCACCCCAAGTTGTCTTCAGGGTTTTTTTTCACCTATTTGCATTAACACTGCGTCCAGTCAGTGCTGTAAATGGAGCCTTGCAAAAAAGCCTTGTACCAGAAACTTTGACCCTGCTGGTGATGAAGCTGGAGCTGTGTCTGGCACACGAATGGAATCCCAGCATGGTATCAGCCCCCAGCTCCCCCTCAAACTCTCAAGAAAGAGAAACAAAAATTGTTTCAAGTGTGTCAGTCCCTGTGTGGACGTGCTTTACTGCTGTCCAGTGGCTTGTAGAGTGAGCTGCAACACGCCTGTAGTGGTTCAACTGGCAAGTGGTTTTTAACCCAGATGGAATGGGAGTTTATTTGAGCAGCGTGGCTTACGCAGGTGTTTGCTCCTGTGTGCTTGTGGTATCAGTATCAAGTTCTATCTTCACGATGGGGCTGAGTTTGAGGAGCACAGGAATTGCTGCACCAGATGAAACCTGCCAGTGGCTAGCTGTACGTGTTCCAGTTCCAGGGGAGCTGCAGAACTGCAGATAGGTGGATGTAGGCAGATATTTCCCCCTGCAAGTGATGATTATCCTGCCTGGTATTGGTCTGAGAATCTGGGACGCTGTTGTCCCTTCCAGAGATGGATGTTTAGCTCCTAGCACCTTGGAGTACTTGTTTGTAAGATCAGAGCAGCGTAGGGTTGGAAGAAATGAGGGAAAATAATGCAGTACTCAACCTGCAGTGGTCTGCAGAATAGCAGTAGTCTGGAAGACATCAGAAAGTACTCCTCAATGTGACTGAAACACAGAGAGAGAGAGAGAGAGAGGAAGGGAACATAAGTGCTTATGAGTGTGCTACAGCCAGAAGGTGCAGGTCTGTAACCCTCTTTAGGATTAGCCAAGTGCCTGACACAGCTGCTAAAAATCGGAGACCGTTGCTTTCCTCTCAGTGGTCCATGTATTTTAATCTAGGATTTTAATGATAAATTTTCTATTTTTTCAAAGTTATTGGTATCTTAACACTGAGCATTTATCACATTCTTCCCCCTGCTCTCAAATGGCACTAGGATGTACTACAGGGCTCATAGATGGTAATCATCCCAGACTTAAAAACACACAGTGTGGGAGAAGCCACGGCTATAGCTGGTATCCTCCAGAGCTTCACAGCTATAAGTGTAAAGGCAGTAAAAACGCAGACAATTTTTTTTTTTAATTATTATTATTTTTTGCTTTGAACTGGTGTTTTTTAATAATTTTCCCCTGGACTATTGAGGTTTTTCAAAACGAGACCGCAGCTCTGCCAGCAGGTGGCACCAGCCTACTGCTACAGTGCCTGCTTTTGCTCCTGTGAGATTTGGAGATGGTTGTAGTAAGGTATCATTTGAAAGACCTTGAAATGTGCTGACTGAGGATTTTCTGGAGGAAGTAATCCCTGCTTCATCAAAGCCTGCACAATAGGGCCATAAACACCTGTATTTCCCCTTCTTCACTGATGAGGTGGACCACAGCCTTTGCAGTGCTGCGTGGACTCTTGGCATTTACCCTGCAGTTTTAATGCAGCCTGCAGTTGAACTGTAGCTAATTCTTGTTACAAAACCATCAGTGGTAATGGGCATGAAACAGCAGGGAGTCTTTGGTAAACAACAGCTTCTCAGTGATAAGTCTAATCATGTTATTTGGGCAGCATCGGAAATGCACTGAGCTTCTACAGAGAGCTACAGTGAAGAGACTGCCCAGTATTCCAAATGTGCAAATGTGCAAAATGTGGTCGTCTCCTTCCAGCTGGGAAGGAAATTGTTGACTCATGGTTTGTTCAAACTCATTTTCTTTAGCAAAGCAGTCTAGTGATGATTCATTCTGTTAGAGAAACTCCAGATCCTTCATTCAGAGCTGGGTGTTCAGAATTCTTGGTGAGTGCAATAGCTGACCTAACAATGCTTGCCTCCCTTGCAATATTTTTGTGTCCAGCAACGGCAGAAAAACTTCACAGCATGGAAATGGGAGTTTAAACATATTTGTGTTTGCATGTGGGGTTATTTTAAAATCTTCAATACTGGTTTACTAAAACAAACAGTTGTAAAAAGATGCAGTACTTTTTGGTTAATTTCTCGTGCAGCAGTTTGGTTAGCCAGGAAATGTGCTTAATTGGGACGTCTTCCAAGGAGACATTCTGAGCCCAGTCAAACTGAGAAACAAGGACTGCTCTTTATGCTCTTCCTTTTTACTCCTTCAGACACGTTCTTTCATCTGAGGAGCTCTAATCATTTAATAAACATAAAATAACCTTCAGTGCTACTTTCTAAAGTAGACTTATTGTTCCTGGCGCACTGTGCCAAACAGTACTAACAGAAGAGGCAAGCTCTTCCTGTGTTTGCATCTTCAGCTTGAAATTGCAGCATTAATGTTGAATTGCTAGTTTCACTGCAGAACTCAGTTCACTCCCAGAACTCAGTCTTGGCAATGCAGTCCCTCAGATGTAGGAACTGAGTTTCTATATTCACACCAATCAGAGTTTCCAAGCCCCTGCCTTCCTAGCTGCATGTATAGTACCTAGTACATCAAGGTATGACCTCAGCCAAGTGTTTTTAGAGCACTGCAATGCCAGAAGTATAAAAAGTGACTCACAGTGCAAGAGCCTCGGGATACAAAGGCAGGTATGCCAAATTTTATGAAAAGCCAGTGTGAGGTTTGCCTGTGTGATGAGTATGGCCTGCAGCAGCCTGGAGCTCCTATTCTGAGGCCGCCCTGCTGAGGCTCTGGCTGAAGCCTGCCCTTTGCAGATGAAGTCTTGGCATAGCAGAGTTGCTGAACTTTTCTGGTGGTTTTGGGCAATGTTCAGTAATTGTATGAGGTCCCTGAGGGAGAAGCCAGTGAAGTAGTTTGGAATCACTGCTACTCCCTCCTCCCCTGTTGATGGCAGCAATTATATCACAGTCTTTCTAGATAATCACTAGAACTGTTTAGCATAGCTGCTTTATTAGAGAAGACTATTGAGGTGTCAGTTCAATTGTTTAGCAACAAGCCTTGCACAATAGTTGCTTATCTGCAAAGATCAATCACAGTTCCACAATTCTGAGGTAATGCTAATTATATCCTTAGCTTACCTTCCAAATACCAAGCAGTCCTTCCAGCCCAGGGAAGTTTCCTCAGCGGTTGTGCTGAGCTCAGGGTGGATCAGCCCCTCTCCAGGAGCAGAACTCCAAGGGGCTCAGTTTCCCAGCCCAGTAATGTACAGCGTCTGTTACCACCCACAGTGCAGTGCTTTGCAAAGGTTCCTTGCAGCTGTAGGTCTTCCAAAGCCAACAAGAGAAACTGCATCTTGTGCAAGGGCAAAGGTCATATTCATCACATACTTTGCAATGGCAACTCCACACTGACCATGGCCTAGGCCATGACCAAATCAAATGGTCAGTAGAACTATGGCAGTTCTGTCATCGGATGCCTTGTCCCTCCACACTGACTGACAGCAGTTGGATAGCTTGCTCTTCAGATGCTCCTTGTCCTTTCAGGTACCTGTATTTTTATAAGCACACAGTAGACCTACTGAGAGAGCATGGAATTGTTTCCGCTGAGGAGGTGCCTCTCCCTGTGGTCTCCACGGCTATTTCACACCTCTGGCAAGAGCTTTCTGAAGAAAGGAGAGACAGCATCTTGCAGTACTGTAGCCAGAGAGATTTCCACCTGGGTCCTACGGATGCTTGCCAAGAGCCTGCGTGCGCTGATGGCGATGTGAGAGACAGTGGAGGTAACAGTGAGGAAGCCAGTGGCTCCTTGGTCTCCACGCCAGAGGAAGTAAGTGCTCAATAACACATATCCTCTGCCCCTAAAGCTCCAGTCCTCCAGTTGCTAACTGGCTCTGCAGCTTCTAATTAGAGAACATGCAGTAGTTTTAATTAAGTTTTCCCAAGACCACTTGAATGGAAAAGTGGAAACAACAGCCTGTGAGTAAATGTCTTGAATTCTCTCTCGGTAAGATAGACAGCAAGCTGTAGGAGCGCCGTGGCAGCAATCCTGGCATTTCTCTGTTGAGCTGTGGATTCCTGTGCTAAGTAACAATTAAATTAGCTCTAACTTGCTGTGGGGTGGGGAGCAAGAACAAGGGTTGTCCAGCTGCTGTCTTCTGCGAGTCTTCCATGCAGGACAGATTATCTGTATCCAGAAGAAATGCCCAGATTCCTAAAACCTGTGTGTTTTTGCCTGGTCGCTTGTTTTTTAATTCGTTGGGTTTTGATTTTTACTTGTTTTTGTTTGTTTGTTTGTTTTTAGTAATCAGAGCACTTAGTAGCAAAGATAAAGTATTCGTAGAGACCAGTTCCAGCGATACAGGGCTGATGACTGCCTATTCCGTGCATTTCTGCAGAGCCAAGAATTCAGTGACTGCGTAGATGGGAGCATCTGAAAAAAGAGATTAAATAACAGCCAACTCTCCATAAATTGTTCCTGATGAAGCATTGATGGCTTAAGCAACTGGCTGTTCAGAGAAGGGTACAATGTTATTAGTTGCGAGGGGAGGTCAGAGGTTCACTTTTAGCAGATTGTAAATTGCATTTACAAGCTCCTTTTTGAGTCACAGGACAATTAGCAATTCAGTCCACTGACCTGCTTAGGAAATGTCATGGGGACGTTGCGTGTACAGTACTTTCTGGCACAGAAGATGTGTGAAGAGCATGAACTAATGAGATTAGTGGTCTGTCACATGGAGAATCCAAACTCCTTTGTAAGACGAGTCATATACTGGAATCAGATTTGTGGAGAGTGGCTGGTACAGCTGAGATCTCCAGCCATAAACAACACAACGGCCAAAGTCAAGTCTGGAAAGCACTGTTAAATTCATGTATTTACTGATGCTCTGGGAGACGTAAGTCTAATTCTTGGAGGCTGAAAAACAGGGAACAGACTAATCTTGTGTTTGGAGTTACGAAAGCTTCTCCCTCTTATTCCTTTATTTGCAAAACCCTGTAGATTTCTGCAGAAGGAAACATTAGCTGTTAAATGGAAAGAAAAAAATATTGTACTTTTTATGATTTCATTATTAAAAACTATGCCCTAGGTAAAACTCTTTAAATGGCTGGATATGCTGACATCCAAAATGTTTTCTGTGACAGGTAATGTTTGAAGACGCGTTTGATGTTGCTGCTGGTTTCCTTGAAACAAATGAGACACAGGGATTGTCCAGCCAAAGGTAAATTTTAGCATCCAACCCTTTTGCTAGATAGAGTAACTCAATAGCTGACAGACAGTGCTCCCCAGCAAGTTTGCTGTAGAGAAAGTCAGTAGCCGAGCGTTCTCTTTTGTGCCTAACTTTTAGTCAGTAGATAAAATAGTAGCATACAGCAGTTGTGCTCACTGTAGTATTACCTTTTAAGGTGGATGAATGAAATGAGGAATAGGCATTTACAACAGAACCAGGAAGATTAGCTTACAGGAGTGCCCAGTAGCTTCGAGATAACCAGGCACTCCTAGTAAGTGATTCTTCATGGAAAGTCTAGGAAGAGTCCTGGATTCTGGATAAATAGATAAACTCTTCCAATTTTTTTCTCTACTTTGCATAGCTTTCTGTCTTTTCAAATTACAAGATTTCTAATGTTCTCCTTTTTTTATCTCTCTCACTTACAAGGTCTGTGATGACCATAAGGCACTTCCTGGACAATTAACTATACTCTCACTTAATGAGACAAAAATAATCTCTTTTTTTTTCTTTAACATCATTTCTCTTAATCTTCTTCAAGTACCCTAATTTCATCAGTAAGAGATGATCAAGCTGAAGTGTGGTTGGCTTGAGCAGAAAGATCGAAGAAACACGAGGGGGAATGGTTTTGAACTAAGACAGGGGGAGTTTAGGTTAGATATTAGGAGGAAGTTTTTCACACAGAGGGTGGTGATGCACTGGAACAGCCAAGGAGGCTGTGGATGCCCCATCCCTGGAGGCATTCAAGGCCAGGCTGGATGTGGCTCTGGGCAGCCTGGTCTGCTGGTTGGAGACCCTGCACATAGCAGGGGGTTGAAACTAGATGATCACTGTGGTGCTTTTCAACCCAGGCCATTCTGTTGATTCTGTGATTCTGTGCAGGTCAGATCACAATTATCTAAGAAAGAACATGTCAAACTAGCACTGCTTTTGATTTTTCCAGTAGACTAAAGAAAGAAAAGGTTTCTCTTCAAGAAGAAAATCACTTTCTGATTCATCTCTTACATATTCTTCCTGCTTAGTCTTGCTTAGATTATTTTTTTTCTCTTTCCAAATAGTGTTTTAATTTTATTTTTTTTAATCCAGCTGATTATTTTTCCATATTTAGAGAGTTGTTTAATGTGAATCTTCTTCACTGTAATTCCACACTGCACTTACAGAATAGCATGAACAGAAATAAGATTGCTCTGGCTGTTCGTCAGAATATGTTTGTATTGTAAAGCTTAACAAAACATGTATCTATTAAATTCCATTTATTAGGTCATAGCTGCTGTTTGTTTTTGAAACAAGGAAAAGCAAACTTTGTTAACACTGCAAATGTATTGGCATCATCTTTGCAGTCTGGTTTAAGCCCCAAATTAGATTAATATTTCAGTAGTCAGCGTTTTCCATGTGCCCTTCTTTTTTTCTATCACCCTGTGCTTTATAGTTCAGGACAGAGGTGTGGTGCAGAACTTCCTAAGGTCCCAGGGAGAGCATAGAGGTGAGGTCCAGAGTGAGTATCTGACCTTAGTACCAAAGTTGCTGATCACCTGAGTACACATTTGCCAGTGAACAGCTGATGTGTGATTTTGTGACCAAAAACTTTACAAAAGAAGGCAAAGTTGCTTCTTGGAACAGCCCTACAAAATACACTGCCAAATGGCCATTTTTGCTCTCCATTATGATGCGTGTGTACCTTTCCCTAGAACAGTGCTATCACAGCTGTAGTGTATTAGTGGATCTCTGTTGTAGTGGTTCCTTATACTGGAGTTCTCAGTTCTTAGATATCTTTCTGCACTTGTTAGACAGCATTTCCTCATTACACCTCCACTCCTTCCTGTCTTTTTCACCTATTGTCTTTCTTGTCAGATTTGTCATGGAAACAATTTAAGTATTCTATAATTTGTAAGTAAAATGTGAAGGAGAGAAAGTAAGGAGGAGGAGGAAAAGAGGGAAGAGGAAATTAAATTAAATTTCTTGTTCCATTTTCAGTTCTTCATTTACAAGTGGCATTTCTGAAAATCCAGAGGATGACCACAGACTTTATCTGCAGATCACTGACTTCCTAAAAAGCCTTTTCTTTGCCAATACACACTTCTGCCAGGTAAGCTTTCCAAAGGGTTCCTTACAGAAGGAGCAGTGTATTTCTGTCACTGTCAGAAAGACTTTTCCCTTGCTTCAGATCATGGCGTCCAGAATCATTAAAACAAGACCTTGGGGCTTATTGCTTTAGATGTCATTCTGCAGGTCCATAACCCACCCTTGGCCTCTTGATTCTGAACACAGTGGGACTACCCTGTGCTTTATCTTGGTGCCAGCTTCCCTACCCTGAGCCTTTGTTTGGCAAGCCTTGAGAGTAGAGTAATTATGCTCTTGAAAGAGAACAGCTCTTAAAAGAGAGCAGCTGCTGTGCTGTGTCTTAACATCAGCCTACTGGTGCAGATTTGCTGAGCCAGAAATCATTGTGTTTGCAGTGTTAGTCCTCCTGTTCTTGTCCTCTTGCCAAGAGGGTGTCTGAGAACTTGCACATGGATACAGGACCGAAAAGGAGAGATCACTAAGCAAGAAGATGTTTATTTTGGCTCAGATTGTGCCTCTGCAATGGCCACTGTTTCTCTATGTTCTGCTGTCACCTCGCTTCCACCCGGTCTGTTACTTGAGCAGATCGTCCTTTAAAGAAAATGGAATATTTGTGGTGAGGGATGGTTGAGACACCAACCAAACAAAACCCAAAACAACACCACAAAGAACCAGAAACCAGTGTTGCAGCACTGTCTAAATCTATCGCAAAACGATTTCTGCACGTCACTTGGTTCCTACAATCTTCTGGAGACCTTAGCTCTAAAGGAGGTGCTGGGAATGACAGCAGGCATAGCAAAAGCTATTAAACAGGAGCTATTAGAGTAGGACTCTTCAGCAGAAATGTCTGGGGGTGACATGAGAAAATTTGGATCCTAAATGACTTGGATTTGGTACACAGAATGATGATCCATTGCCTCTTAACAGCAGAACTAGACAGCACCCAATGAAATGAACAAACAGTATATTAAGAATTTGCAGATTACCAGAGTTAACTCCCCAGGGATGAGTCCATTGAGGGTTAATAAATCTGGACAAAGATCCAGATATAATTTCATATGCAGAACACCCTCACAGCACAGTGTGCCAGAATGAGGGAGCATGTATTAGGGAGACAGAGCACAATGCATGCAAAATGCTTGCACTTTTTGTTTAAACATCTACTCCTGGTCATTGTCAGAGACCAAGCACTGATTTACACAGCCATTTGGTCTGTAAATAACTGTTCTGCATAAAACCAGGGCTCTTTCTGTGTTCATATAAATGACTGTGAAATGAAGATGCCTAGAAAAGAAAGAATGACATAATGCAAGGTGCATGTTTTCCAGCTGTGAGTGGCTGAGTGCTGCTTTTGCCCTCTGCTTGGTGCTGTATCACTGTGTGCGAGCCCAAGCCCATCTTACAGCTCTCACATACAGTGGTGTTGGTGGTGGTGAAATGCTGCAAATTGGAAGCTGAGCACTTCTTTTATTCAGGAACTTTGAATTGTCTGTGATAAGACAATAAAAAGGGAGTGTGAGCAGAATTCACCCAGACTAAATTGTACTGATAATCTGTTTTGGTTTAGATAACTGTGGTACAGCACATCTAGAGTCCTGCCAAGAGGCAAGAAAATTTGACTGACAGATTTTGGGTTTTGAGTGCGGAAATTCAGCTGTACTTCTGAGCAAATAGTTTGGAGACAGTTATGGAAGTTCAGCTGAGTGTGTCTAGGAGATATTCCAGCTAGCTTGAAACGCTACCTCAGGCAACAGCAGAGCTCAGCGTAGGCTACACAACTTAACCCAGACAGTGGGTTACTCTGTGCACTGAAGACTCTTGGACTTGTCCTGAATAGGAGACCTTCTTGTTTACTTTGTGTGTGTAACCAAATCCCTGCAGACCACTCTCTCGATGCAGTATTGATACAGGTACGTTTGCCCAAGAGTTTGGGCAGTGCTGGTGGTGTAATTATCCCAAAGGGTAAGTGGTGTCCTGATGCACCGTGCACACACATGGTAGATGATGATATGGAGGCAAGCAGCAGGTACTGTACTTAGAGGCAGGGCCACCAGTGCGTGCCCGACTGATGTGTGAAAGGCAGCCTCTGTCCCTTCCATCTGCAGAGCTGGGGAGGTAACAGGTTTTCTTGTGGTCATTACATGCCAGTTCCGTGTTAATGCCATTTGAGATTAACTGTACAAAGCACTGTTGTTGGATTGTGTACATTTGCTGTTTCACAGTCTACAGATGCAAATGCTTTTGCATCCTGGACTTTGATTGCTCAAAGCCACTTATGCTCTGTAAGATGGTCAAGAAAACCATTTCCCTCTGTTGCTAAAAGAGCAGCAAAGCCTGAAGACAGTGTAAGTTAGAGGCTCAAGGAAGCTCGCACGTCCTCAGAGCTTGTTATTTGATGTGCTTGCTACCATGGTCTAAATGATGTAGATGGAGGTAGGGTGAAGGCCTGTGATGTTAGATTAGTTGAGAATCTGAGACATTCTTCATCAGGCCCCACAAACAGTTGACTGAGAGGTGCTGGTTGCTGATGCAGAGCAGAAGCAGGGCTCATAGCACTTTGAACACAGTCAACTCTTGTGGTTTTTAACCTTACCTGGCTTTGGGATGGTTTCAGGAAGAAGATCTTCAGTTCGATTATGAGACTGTAATGCTGAGGTGCACGGAGACCTTTGATGACGAAGATTTATAAGTAGTATCCCTGTATGCCAATGTTTTGCCAAGCATCACTGGATACAGCAGGCATGTGAAGAGACTGTGCCTCTTCCAGAGGAACACCTCTCCAATCAGAATGGGGAGACAATGTGTTGTGGTTTGTTATTGTTGACTTCCCTTTCCTCATCAGTGCTCCATAACTTACCAGTTGAGTAATTTATACTTTTAAATGTTCCAGGTTTAAAATATTTATAAAACCTAAAGGAAGAAGTATTTTTCTCTCTGACTTTTTAATGCTGAACCTCATTTCACAAATACACTGAAGCAATTCAGTGACCTTGCCTAATGTGAGCTGTGGAAGAGATGCAGAGAGCACATGGCAACCTACGCACTCCAGACTGCTACCTACAAAGCTCACAGCGTGCCTCCCAGCATCCTGGCAGTGATTGCTTTCCTCTACAGTTCTTTAGCCAGGGCTGGAAACAACGGAGGAATTTCTTCACAGAGAGTGACGTGAGGACATTCCATATCTATGAGGACAACTGTAGTGGCCACGCACTCCCGAATCGCTCAGAGAGATGCAGATACAATCACAAACTGTGGATTATTTTTGTAAAGTGTGTAAAGTTGAAAGAGAACTAAGCCCCCTGTGCTGTTCTGCTGCATCTTGTTCTTTGATGAGTAGTACTGCTCAGATGGTGTCTTGAAATTAAAAATGCATTGAAGTTAAAACAGATCATTGACATCTCTGAGCTGTCATTAGCGGCTTTCTGCAGACTCGGCCAGTGTTCTGGCAGTGGTTATATTGAGGTCTCCTTCTTCCTACTTCCCCTCTCATTTTAAAGTACCATGCATATATTGCTCTGGAGGGCCTGGGTTTTGGAACACGTGCTACTTGAAACGTGTACAGGTTTTTCAGGGGATCTGAGGCCAAATCATTCTTTCCTAAAGGAAAGAATACAAGAGACAAATGTGAAAATGTTTGCATGAGATGTCCTGTGTGCCCTTTCTTACCATTCTGTAGTTTTGTGGAAAAATGTGTTAGTTTTTCTCAGTGTGGAATCTTACTTTTTACAGTTTAAAGTATCCCTTTCTGATCTTACAGCTTGCTGCCATCTCCAGTTCCATTTGCCACATGACATTTGGTCAGTTTTGTTACAAAAACAAGCCTTTCACTTTTCCACCTCAGTTACTGCATCAGTTGAGGTCATACTTGGCAAATCTGTAGGAGAGACATGTGAGCAGATAACACTGACGGATTAACAACCTTATTTTTATTAGCTCTCAATCCCCATGCTTTGAAGACCAGTCCAGGACAGAATTAAGCAGCAGAAATACTGCATTTTTAATCGACTTTCAGCCTGTCATGTACCAGAGGAGGCAGTTCTAGGTGGTCACCATGGTATGTAGATGCATTCCCTTGATCATCACGTGGGAGAGCTTTTGATGCTTCACCAGGAGAATTTTAGGCTTGAACACAAACATGATCAACAGGTGTGTTCAGGTAGTGTGAAGGTAAGAAATAACTATTCCAAAAGGTAGCAAGCATTGTGGGAGGCATTTATGTCATTATGAAGAGGATGAGGAACACATTACTTTGGTTCCTCCTGTGGCATGACCAGTTTGCAGGATGCAAGCCTGTGTGACATGGGAAGGCAGCCTTCTTGAGCAGAGCCAGCGCCACCCAGCCAGAGACTGAGCTGCCCCGGTGTGCAAAGGCTGCTCTGCCTTGGCGGGGAAGCAGCCTTAATTCCTGAGCATTGTATTGCTGTGTGTGCACTGGCACCACATTGTTCAGTGCTCAGTGGTTGGTCTTGAAACTTCTTACGAAAAAGCCTGGAAAAGGCCAGCAGGCTGCTGGGGCAGAGCAGTGGGAAGGAGAAGGAGCTTGAGGCTGAAAGGCAGCATGGAGGAAGCAATGGCAAACCTGAAAGCAGCCATGGAAGTGAGGCTGTTGTGGAGGCAGGCCTGGCCGAACTGGACAGAATGAGACCAGGTGCATTACAGCTGTGCTGTAGCACAGCAGCTTCTAACACACAGTCTGATCCAGCAGTTGGCAGCCCTGCCCACAGCAGGGGAGTCAGAACTGGATGATTGTTGAAGCCCCTTCCAACCCAAGCCCAGTTCACATCTTGTTAGAAAGCTATGAAAATGAGCTGGTCCAGACCCAGTGTCACTAGGTACAAGCATGTATCCCTCACCAACTCTCTCCAGAAAGAACAGGAAGACTTTCTGCCTGCACTTTGGCAGTTCATTATGTGCACCTCTGTAAGCTGCAAGCAGGATCACCCCACACTGCCTGACTTCAGCACGCTTTGAGGAATAAACAGGAGCAAAGGGTTACACGGGTGGCAGGCAGCTTGCTGTTCCCAGGCAGTCCAGAAAAGCCTTCAGGTGTTCAGTTTTGCACCTGAGGATCCCTTGATCTTTCACTTATCAAGGAGCAAATAAACAGAAGCTGCATCCTGTGGTGCAAAGTCAAAGCTGTTTCCAAAACTCAGGTGGCCGTATGCAGCCAGTGGGGAGTGGTAATCCTGCAGCCTCACCCTGCCTACTTCATTTTAGAATTTAGACACGTCCCTCTGAGTTAAAAAAAACAAACAGGCATATAACAAACACACCAAGGAGAAATTTCAAAGGGCAGTTAATAGCCTGAGCTTGAAATGGGGACAGAAATAGCTTCTGAGAAATGCCTCGAGCCTCAGCAGCACCAGACACACAGCAGCACCAGACACAGCATGCAGTCTGTGCCGCCTGGGCTTCGCTGTGCTGCAATGAAGGACGGGCCCTACTCATGCTGTGCCCCAGGGAGCTGGGAGAGGAGGGTGCAGACATGGCAGCAGGGTGGAAGTGCAAGATGTGGTCACTGTGTCTCATTCATCAGCTGCCATCCTGTTGCCATTAAACCATTCCTGCAGCATATGCTGGATGTGGCCAGCAGCAGGCTGACAGGACACAGGGACAGGGTGATGCAGATTAACTTACGCTTTCTCACATATGCTATGACACAAGTAAGTCTGACAGTGATGTGTAAGACCAGGGCTTATCTGCTAGTTCTCCTGGGGATATAGGCTATCAGTAAATGAGCTTAAGGTGTGGGCGACATTGTGGAGAATTAAGGCACTGTCAGAGCTGAGATGCCCAGGACCTCTGTAACATCCCAACTGGGCAGGAATCAGGCATAGTTTAGGAAAAGATCCATAAGATCAACGCCAGCCATCACCTAGTACTACCAAGTCCACCACTAAACCATGTCCTTCAGTGCCATATCCACACATTTCTCAAATACCCCCAGGGATGGTGACTCCACCACATCCTTGGGCAAAATATGCCCCTTAAAAGTAAAAACAAGCAACTTACCACTAAATCTGGGACATACCCATATTGTAATAGGCATGAGGAACGAAGGGTTTTCATTGAAACCACGCAGATTTTGCGGAGACAAAAGGGTTAAGAAGAAACCATATCACAGCTTTCAGCTGTACAGTTCAGAGTACAGAGAAGATTGGGACAGGCTTTTCTGAGAGGGGAACAGTGTTGAGGCAACAGACACAAGTTGATGCACTGGAAATTCCAGTTAGATGTGAGGTAAGCTATTTCTCACCACAAAGGTTGTCAAACACCAGAACTGGTTGCCCAAAGCAGCTGTGGCTCTCCAGCCATAGTTTGATTAGGCACTGCCATGTGCCGCCTGGTCTGAGAGGAAGGGTTGGCCCACATGACTTCCAGAGGTCCTTTCCAACCTGAATTCTCTGTGATTCTTTGAATACAACCTGCCACTCACTATGGAAATCAACCCAAGAAATATCATTCAGTTGCATGTGTTATTTATTTTTCCCAAAAAATATATTTAAGTATAAATCTCAGTGCAGGAAATTACAGCTTAATGCTATAGCAATATTATTACATGTCAGCAGCAGCCAGCACCACGTGCAGTCACATTATTAACAGGTTAAGGCTGTTTGTGCTGAGAGTAGAAAACAGCAAGAGTCTGCAAGCTGTTTTCTAGAGAAGTGGCTGTCACTACACAATCACCAAGCCAAGTCAAGGACAGTGGGGACACACAGAATTTAGCAGTAGCAGAGGTATGTCACACTACAAGCAGAAGTTTTGTCCTTCATCTCTGATAAAGATTCCTTCATCTCTGTGCAATTTGTTACCCTGGGGAAGCTGGCTCCCAGCATCCCGGCTGAATTCCTTTCAGTAAAGCTGGTTGTTTCTAACAGATCAGTAACCTAAGTGGAGTCTGTAGATCCCTCTGCAGTGTAGGTAAGGAGAGGCAACTTCAGAAGACAATTCATCCCATTAACCTTAGATGCTGCTTTTCCAGCATCATTCATTTGACTTTAAAGCATCACAGAAGAGAGAGGAGTCATGGCCTACAGGTGCCCACTTCTTTCCTTTGGCCAGGAAAAGGTGTAAACCACAAGCTGAGAGGTGAACCTTGCCATTACAGATGATTAAGGTGGAGGGGATAAACCTCAGCCCAAAGGATGCATAAGCATGGTAGAGATGCCTTCTCCTGTGGCCCCAAGGGCAGTCAGAACAGGGGGAAAGGAAGAGTTCTGCTTCAGCCTAACAACTGTTCCTCAGGGTTCCCGAGGCTCAGTGCAAGGAAGGAAACTGAACATCCTTCCTAGGCATTTCCCAAAGCAGTACTGCGTCCTTCCTAGAGGTGGGCAGGCAGGAGCAGGGAGAAGAAAAATGATTCCCTCAAGGTCACCAGTGGCACTGGAGACAGTTAAGAAAAGAAAGGCATTGTCATTCTCTTGCTCCAGTTCAAATGATGGGGGCTGCAGACATGCTTTTCATACCTTTGCTTGAGAGAAGAGTTTATCTTCAGGCCTGGTGCTTATATCCTTGTATCAGCACCTATCTCAGAGTCTCTTTCTAAGCTTGCTTTAACACTGCTTTCTTGTCCAGCAGCCTTCAGTTCATCCATTTTCTTGCCACTAGGTAGTTTTTGGGGGCAAGCAGGGAGATACCGAAACCAAGAGACAGCACAGTATTTTGTGCCTATGCCAAATGGAAGATCATAGACCTTGGAAATGAGCTGGGAGTTGTCCACCTCTCCCTTGTGGCTGTGCTTCCATGCCAGGAGACCCCGCTCCTCCTGTGTTCCTGTGAAAGCAAAAAGGAAATTGTTGTATTTCAAACACTCAAGTGGGTGTTCTGAACATATGACTGCCTTGGGCGCTCCACATTTGGCTCTCAAATCGCAGCAGATCCACTACAACATAGAGATACCCTGCACTTAAACCCTTCTAGCTTCAAAACTCTTTACAAAAACTAGCGACTGTGCTGCTAGACAGTACCCATCTTCCTGCAGTGCCTTACAGTCTCCTCCACTGCTTCTCATGGGAATCAAAGATACTAACACAGGTTTTCAGAAGCCATGGGGGATGGAAGAACTATTCAAGAGGCATTGTAAAGTGCTAGAAAAGCAAAGCTGGGTGTTAACTGCTCGAATATCATGAGGTAAGAGAATTAACTTTAGCTAGCAATTGCTAAATGTCTGTAATTGTTGCAATGGCTGAGTCCCTCTTGGGAAAGGGAGTGAGCACATAAATTCTGCCTGGAGGAGCTGAAGATCAAGGGTACAATAAAATTAACGAGCCAAAAGGATATTGGCTTTTCAAAAAGTCTGAGATAATAAAAGAGTCTGCTTAACAGAGTGCCCTTCCTGCTCTCTTTCTGTAGAACTTCCTCTCCTATTGTTAGGCCATCCCTCCCTAGGCTTGATGAAAATCAGAGGGTCTTTGATGGCTGTGAGGGGCAGCCACTGGTCCTATATCACATCTTTGGTCATCAGCCCTTCCTGCTGCTTTCCACTGATGTGGAGCAATTCGACTTCAATTTCAGCAGCTTTCATAAGCAGGCACACATCAACATATTGTCTATCAGAAATCCGAGAATCATTAAGGGTGCAAAAGACCTCAAAGATCACCTAGCCCAACCATCAGCCCATCCCCACCATGCCCACTGACCACGTCCCTCAGTGCCACATCCACACGGTTCTGGAACACCTCCAGGGACGGTGACTGCACCACCTCCCTGGGCAGCCTGTGCCACTGCTGCGCCTCTATTTCTGAGAATAAATTTCTCCTAATATCCAACCTGCATCTATAAGCAGAGAAGAAATATTTCTTACCATGCCCTCCCTCCTGCAGTTGCCTTTCTCTCTCCTTTCTACCAACAACATGACCTAGGCTAGCAGTTTACATAAAAGACATTTTTTACTGAATTAACTTTTCCTCAAGCTAGATTGTTGAAAAACGTTTTTTTGTTTTGTTTTATTTTAATGAGTTACTGTTTTGGAAGCAGCAGCTATTCCATTGATGTCTCTCCTGTTCCCCATTCCTCTCCAGGAGTTCAGTGACATAGAATTTCATGGTTGCTATTACAGCTTTTACCCATAGAGCAATGGTAATGAGGACAAAAAATACCGAGTGACAAACCCCAGGGCAGACACAGACTGGTAGCTTAGCTCATTTCAGCAAAATCCTACCTGGAATGGTGTTATCGAGGATAAACCCCAAGAGCCCACCCACAAACATGCCAGTGGTGAGAAGCACCTGGATCACCTGGTCCAGCTGGATGATTTCTAGAGGAAAAACAAAGACACATATTCAACCAGCAACACATTCAGTGCCAAAAGGCTGCAAGATGCATGCTTGTTTAGACAAGACCTGCAAATCCCAAAACAGAGCCTAAGATTTGGCAATGCAAGGGAGGCACCGGAGCAGAGGACAAGAGCAGCACTCCCAGAAAGCAACGGACAACAGTCAGAGGACAGCTTTCAGGATTTTGTTTGGAAAAAAATGTGTTTAAAAAGGTTGCTTTGGATCAGCCTTTGCTTAAGTTCTATGCTACAGAAAGCTCTTCTAAAATGTGCTGTCACTTCTTACCTGTTTCTAGCAGCATATGATTTTTGTTTGCCCAGTTGGGAACTGTGAGTCCAGCAAACACAGAGAATCCAAATATAAAGATGTTTCTGGAGGAGTTCATATCCGTGTACTGCACAGAGAAATTGTGTATGTTAGTACTGACAGCTTGGAATGACCAAAATCCATGGATTAATTCATTAGTGAGCCATGCTCAGATGTACACACACAAACCCAATGACAGGTGTTAGAACAAAGTTCTGCTTAACCAAAATTAGCAGATGATTTCAAACATGTATGGCATGCACTAGAAACTGTATATGGCAGATAATCAGATGGCCAAGCACTCTGTGATCTCCAGCTTAGACACCAGGAAAAGGTGTGATTCAGCCACAGCCACTGGCGGAACTGGAAATTAAACCTTTTACTGAGACTCTTACCCAGTTTGAGACCTCTACTCAAAGAGCCCTCCTCTAAATGCACATAACTATAGGACATAGAGAAAAACCATCCATAGGAGAGCAGCTACAGAAACTCCTCCCTTGCTTATAACAGCTTCCTTCAGATAAACTGTGAGATGGGGATGAGCAGCCCTGGAACTGCTGGGGCATTAACCAGTGCCTGCAAGCCCTGTCCCGGCCTGGAACCTCTCTTTGTGATTTTGTCTCTGCATAATTGCCCTCATCTTCACCCAAGGAACTGCCAGTACAAATGTTTACATTTGCTGCAGCCCTGCTTACGTCTATCTCAGGCTGGTGAGAATCTGGCTTGAAACCAAAGTAACCTTCCCTGGGAATGAAAAGGTGCTCACACAGCTGTTACCTGCAAATTGGAAACCCCCACTGCGGTGATAATGCCAAACATCACGAGGAACAGGCCTCCGATGACAGGAGTGGGTATGCTGGCAAGCATTGCCCCCGCTTTCCCAAAGACGCCGCTCAGGAGCATGGCACAGGCACCAGCAATGATCACCATGCGACTCCCTACCTGGGTGGGAGGAAGAGCAGGCAGTGATGCACCAGTGAGTGCAGACCTGTCAGGCAAGGCTTGCAACCAAAGCACTCGGCGGCACGTTCGGTTCCAGCCTTTGGGTTCAGAATGGGAAGCTCACACTGTGTGGAAAGTCCCTGCAGCTGTACACTAGGAAATATTTATCGTAATAAGCACCCTGAGAACAATGATAGATCCACACCTATTTGCTTTGCTATCCTCTGCCCCATTGCTATCATGACTTAACAGTTCACAGTGAAACAAAAAGCACATTAAGAGCACACTAATCCCCACATACAGCTCTGCTTTCACTGCAGTGTAGGAACCTTGTGTCACACCCACACCCTGCTCCCAGATAATTCACTGGACAACACTTCCACCAGAGGTTAGTTTCCACCTCAAAATGGCCTTCAGCTAGGTGTCCTGCACCAAGCAATCCTCTCTCTGTGGACAAAGATGTAGCAGAGCAGAGCTGGCCAGCCTGGCTGCTTCCATCCTGAGCTCTTGCATCTGTTATATCCTTTACACAACCAACACCAGGTTAATGAGAACTGGGGAAGTCTCTTGTTCTGCCCTTACCTGCCATCACACACCAGCTTCAGTCAACCCACCTTTCTCTCGTTCTTCCCCAGGAAGAGCCAGGGAGCCATTCTTAGTCCCACACTACAACAATGATGGGATGAAGCAGCAAGCTTCATTCAGAGCTGTTAGAGTGTGTGAATAGGAAAGAAAAAGAGTATCTGACAAACAAAGGGACGAAGGAGACATTTACAGATTACAGAAATTAAACACAAAAGCAGCATATTTGTTAGACTTTCAATTCAAGATACGCTTTGCCACACCAAAACTTGGACAGCTTAAAGAATCACACTAAGATTTACAGCATTTGTGTCTTAGGCAGAGAAGTTCTGTAATCCTCTGCAAACAATTTATAATTCAATTAATTATTTTAATCCTTTCACTGAAGTATCTGAAGAATGCCATTTTTTTTCTGCAAGGGTTTTTTTGCAAATGCTTTCAGCCAAAACACTGCCAGTAACTGGTACTGTCCCTTTTCAAATATTACTTAAAATACTTTGAAGGCACATTTTTATGAAATCTAAGTTTTACTTGATTGTGAAAGAAATGAGTAAGATTTGGTGGAGAGTTTCAAAACAAAATCATGCACTGCCTTCAGGTGCACTTTATATTCTTTGGCTTAAAACCTTGGGACAGCATTATCATCAAAGCAATAATTTAATAAAAGCCACAAGATCTGTTTGTTCCAAGATTAGAATGAAGCTTCAGATTCTTAATTTGCTGAAATTGTCGTATGTCAAATTGTCCAATAAAGGAAGTTGGCCTCAAAGGCAAAGTAACTAATCCACTGATACCACAACTGGGAGCATCTGCTTCTAAAGCTTCTAATTTAGAGTTTGTTTCAATTATGTCAGGGAAACAAGAAAACTGGTTTTTGCTCGTAAAGCTGAAGAAGCTGCAGTTTCCCGAAGTCTTTATCCCTCTTTGAAATTCTCTTTTTCTTGGAAATGGGAGCCCAGTGCTGGCACGCTGGGTTTGATCCAGTATCTCAAACATAGGAGCCTGGTGCCATTTAAGATATTGGATCTTGGCAGTTTCTGAGACCTGTGTTTAAGCAGAGGAAACAAGTCCCTGGCACTTCCCTTTATTATCAAAACATATGTTTCCCATGTAAAAACAAACAAACGAACAGAAATCTGCCTTGTGATCACAGCAACCCCAACTATCCCAGTCAGAATGACTGAGATAGAAATTCTTCACTCAGGGGGTGGTGAGGCATTGGCCCAGTTGCCCGGAAAGCTGTGGATGCCCCATCTCTGGAGTTGCTCAAGGCCAGGCTTAATGGGTTCCTGGGCAGCCTGAGCTGGTGGGTGACAGCCCTCCGCATGCCAGGGGGGTTGGAACTAGGAGATCCTTGAGGTCCCTTCTGACCCAAGCCATTCTGTGATTCTATGAGACTGTCTTCTGGGCACTGAAGTCTGAACAAGGTGAGCAGAGGTGGGATCTAAGTGAACTGTCCCCTGAATCAGCACAGATGGCATGCCTGTGCAAGGACCTGGAGTACATGGGGACAAGGCACGTCTATAAACTGACAATTATGGGTTTGAGCACTTCTGCACTATGGTCATGTCAGCAAACTACATCATGAGAGAACAGGCTGAGGGCGACAGGCTAAACTGAGCCTCATGCAGTTAGATACAACCACTTCCATCAAATGCTGTGAAAAATGGTTATTTTGAGGTCTATAAAATCCAGCAAAATAACTAATATTATTGTTCAGGAGCTGTAAGTCAACATCTGCTTTTAGGTAGACTCACAGCTTATTTGACAATGATTTAGAAATATTTTTCAAGTTGGCTGCTGGATGTACTCATCCCCTAGCGATAAAGCTTAGTGAAAAATCTATGATCTGATTGTCAAGTTTATCTCTCTTTGGAAATTTCTTACCCTCATAAGAGCAATAAGATACTCAGGGAATTCACACAACTTTAAAGAGAGGTAAAAACATGGACATTTGCCATCAGATTTCATAATCTCAAAGAAATGGTCTACCTTTCACACGATTGCCATCCTTGGGTTACGAAAATTGTGGAACTTGAATCCCTAATAGGGCTCCTTTACTCTCCTTCCATTTATTTAGGAGGATAGACAGGTAGATAGGTAGATAGATGGATAGTATCGGATAAACTCAATCCTCAAGAAGTTTCCAGAATAGCTCAGTGTAACATATTCTCTTTACAGGAGCCTAAGCCAGGAGCCATGAGTAACCACAGCCTGTACCCCTCCCATATGCAGAGTTGGGCTAAAGAAGCTTCCCACACCAATGTACACAACGCACTTGTAACCACACTCAGGAGATGCACAGGAGGGCAGGGCACTGCAGTCACCCTGCCGTGTGAAGCTCACCTTGGTGATGCCCAGGGCCCCCACGTTCTCACTGTAGGACGTGGTGCCGTTTCCCGTTCCCCAGGCCCCAGCCAGGAGGCAGCCAATGCCTTCCACACCGATCCCACGGTTGATGGCATGCTTCGGTGGTGGTGGGGCACCAGACAGGCGGGCACAGGCATAGTAATCCCCCATGGACTCCAGCATGGAGGAGATCACCCCGGCCAGGATGCCGAATATCCCAGCCAAGCTGACTGTTGGCGTTCCCCACTGTCCTGCAAATAAAGAGCTTGATTCAGGTCAGTGGGGCACATTTACCCCAAAAATCTACTGAGAGGGAAGAACAGCAGGGTGCTTGTGCGTGTTTGCCTGATTTTTGGCACTTTGCTTCCCTGTGGTGGCTGTGAGGTGGGCAGGGTAAAGCAGCAAGGGACAGGGGAAAGGGTTGTGCAGCTTTGTCGCAGTACCTGGGTAAGGGAGGCGAAACCAGGGAGCCTGAGATAAGACGTCCCCGCGGGTGTCTGTCCGTGCCAGGTGGCCGTAAGCAGTGGGGTCCGTGGGGAGGACGTCAGTCACCGTCAACACGTAGCAGAACAGCCAGCTCAGGGACAGCCCCAGCAGCACCTGCCCGTCACATTCGGCAACGACAATCTGGTTACGGCAGAGCCGCATCTCCAGCAATGACAGACAGGTCTGGGACAAGGCCTTCTCCTACCCACCCTTTTCCCTGTGCACACGTGAGCATGCACATGGGATGGAGGGAGAGTGATAGCAAGTATCCTGGTAGCCCTCCTTTCTGCCCCACAAACAGACGCCATGGGTCTCTTCTCCCATTCTCCCCACTGCCCCTTGCAGTGTAGCCTCGGTTGGGAAGTGCTAAGTCCACTTGAAGTGAGTGGAAACAGCCCAGATAGCCTGGACTGGGTGAAGCTGGTCCCTCTGCCATGCTGCCCAGATCACCAGGAGCACTAACATACCGGGAAGATCTGGAAGATGTAGATGGGGGAGAAGTGGCACTTCTTGCCTCTCTGATATGATGGCAGTGGCACAGGGACATTCTTCAGGTACTGAGAGAACAGAACTATGAAAAAAACAGTCCTGGGAGGAGGGGAAAACAGACCATGAGACAAAGTGTTTGCCCAGATACCCACCTGTCCCCATGTGAACTGGAGGCCTGGCTACCTGATTTCCTTTCATTTGAAGGACTCCAGACAGACTCCGAAAAAGTCTCTCAGCACCAAAAGTAGCAGTGCCTTTGTTTGCCCCAAGCCTCCAGGGCTTGCTCCAGTGGTCATGAGGTGCAGCTCCTCTCCCACCCCTTGTGTGGGACTGCACTCTTACCAACAGCAGCGCAGGGCTGCACAGACACACTGCAATATGCCGCCAGAGGTTATCAATTACTATTCAGAGCACTGAATGACTGGATGCAGAATGTCTGAGGAGGAACCAGCTTCCATTCTTGGTTTCTAAAGCTACAGAGCATAGACCAACGGCATCAGTGCACATTTTGTGCATTTGCATTAACAAAGGAGCTCAGCAGCCTGATGAATCACTGCAGAACACTCATCTATCTTGGGTAGGTGTCACTGCTTATTATTCAGGTTGCCTGACACATTCCATTAATAGATGCTATTTTCATCTGCTGCTGAAATTTTGCCTAACTTTTTTCCATTTAGAATGAAAATTTCCATGGAAAACATCTGCCCCAGGCCAAATATTTCTGGAGAAATATATCCTAAACCTATTTCAAAGAGTGATGTTCAAGAAATAGACATAGTCGAGAAGGTCATTTTGCCTTGAGCAGTAGTAAGATCTGCCTATGTGAGATTTAGTAGAATTTGTTTGTTGGGGAGAGGCATATTGCTCTTTCTCACAAAACTCTGCTCAAGTATGATAAGTCTGTGGCAATGATCATTCATCTCAGGTCCCAAGTACTGAGCATAAACATCTCTGATTTTAGCATGTGCAGGCCATAAAGATTTTGAACTTTTTTTTTTTTTCTGGAATACTGTTAAGTGATGAACTGTAGTATGTACCATTACCAAGGAGCAAGTGAGCACACACCAAACCAGTTTCTCAAGGCAACATTGAGATTCACCCATTATGGAGGCTCTGGGATGTGGTAGGGCTGGACAGCAGGGCTTAGATCACAGGACCTGTGTCTTCTACCTTCTCCATCACCTGTCTCTCCCTGGGATGGGGATTAGCACAGGTGGAAAAGAGAAGAACAGAAAGGATAGCCAGGGTTGCAGGCAGGGGCTAGACACAGGCAGGAAAACCCTGGTAATGGAGCAGCACTACTGGGCAAAGTGGTCAGGAGAGAAACAGAGGTTAGGAGCTAGGGACTGGAGAGGGGAAGTGGAAAAATGAGACAGTCCTCATGAGGAAATAGATTTTGAAAAGAGAATTCAGATCGGCCAAGCAAAGGGGCTGGGACAAATCATTAGAGCTAGAGAACAGGACAAACCACAGATGTAGTGGAAGATACAAGGGTGAAGGGGAAATTGAGGAGCAGGGGGACAAGCAGGGTTTGGGATCTTATGGAGTGCTTTTGGAAGAGATCAACTGGGTGGAGAACTGCAGGTGGAGGAGAAATGTGGCATTTGGAGCCTGGGAGTGCAGGTGTTGGCAGGCAGAACAGAACTAGCAGTGACAGGAGAAGTGGAGCTGGGAGCAGAAGGCCTACCTGGGTCCTGATAATATCCCCATGACAGCACACTGCCTTCCAAGGCTGCATTCAAGGCTGACCTCTGGACCTTTGAGTTTCCAAAGACAACACTGAAAGCACTAGCAAACTGTTGGAAGTCATAGAGGAAAACAACCTGCTGCTGTTGTATGCTATCTCAATCTTAAACCTGCACTGCAGATCTGAAACTGCTTATCTGCAGGGGAACTGTGCAGTGGCAGTTCTATTTTTTGAGATTGTTTCTGAAATTTAAATTTAAATTAGATTTAAATTCTGAAATTAGATTTAAATTTAGCTTTAGAGAAGATATTAGGAAGAAATTCTTTACTATGTGGGTGCTGATGCACTGGAACAGGTTGCCCAGTGAGGCTGTGGATGCCCCCTCCCTGGAAGCATTTAAGGCCAGGCTGGATGGGGCTTTGAGCAACCTGGTCTAAAGGGAGGTGTCCCTGCCTATGGCAGGGGGTTGGAACTAGATGATCTTAAAGATCCCTTTCAACCCAAACCATTCTATGATTCTAAAAATATCAAAGAAATTCTGCCACCAGGAACACTTGTACACTCATACACGGAGGTACACACAGATTTCCCTGTAAGAATGCTCTCAGTGCTGCAAAGGCACATGCAGACAATGTACACATTTCCAGAGCTCCCCCAGGCCCTCTGGGGAGAAAACAATTCCTCCTCATGGCTTGAAAACAAGACATGAAGCAGCAGCTATTATAATTTGAGGAATACAGAACTCTGAGTGCTTAACTTTGTTATTTTAGAAATGCCTTTTTAACTTAAATAATGGATGTGTAGGATACTGCGCATAAACAACTACAACAGAAATTGCCCTGAGCAATGACACATAGAGAAGACTTGTTTCTCTACTGAGCTCAGAACTATGAGTTTTCACAAAATCAGTATTTTTAAAATTCACTTTTGTATTTGATTTGTTGCTGGTGTAGCTGAGGGCTAAAAGCTTCTCAAAAGGTAACTGTGTCATGCTGGTGTCTTGCACAAGCCTTCTGTGTGTCAGCACTCCACAAATAAATCTTGAGTTCCAGGGAAGAGATACTTACATGAATGCTATGCCCCAGTGCTGTCCAGCTTTATCCCCAGCTGAGTCAAAGAGAGGCAGAGCAACCAAGGTGATGGTGGGGGCTATTGTCAGGGGGCCAATGAATCTCATCAGAAATCCAACAAGGCCAGAAAATCCAACAAAGATTTGAAAGCAAGAAGCCACAATGATAGCTCCTTGCACCTGGAAAAACGGAGGAAGAGATCAGACAGTGAACGGACCTCTAACTATTAAGTTTTTTTCTTAAGATTTTTCTTGAGGAAGTCAGTACCAAGCCAGTGTGAGAGCCAGGCACACCTCCAAAGATGGACAGGTATGGAGGCCTGCCACTGACCGCAGCAGGGCTCTGCTGAGCATTACTTGGGGGGAAGGACCACCAAAGTACCAGCACACCAATTCCCACCTTGGCTGAGGGATTTAGTCGTTTACCAGGGCTTGTTTCATTCCCTTGTGCCTGCCATCTGTGACACCCAAGCACACTTCAGCTTCCCTGCACCCAATCTTTCTGCTCCCCCAAAATGCAGGGGAAAAGCTCTTGCTCTGAAAATGGGAATAGAGCCATGGCCTCCACTCACCTCCCACCTGGGAAGCACTTGGGGTGTTTCAGCACACTGGTAGGACAGGATGTCATGACAGCTTCTGTTTTTTTTCCTGAGTTTCAGTTTACCTCTGGGGACATGGTCATCACTCTGAACTTTTCTGTGTTTGACAATCACTGTTTAAGTAGCCAGTGACTGTGTCCTGAAATGCCATTAGCTGTTCTCATCACTTCCAGCCAGGAGGCTCAGGGGTGAAGCTGCTGTCTTTGCAGATTTGGTGATAAACCTGCAGTACTGAGCATTTTCCCTCATGCTGGCTCCAAAGGCATGAGGAACACAGGGCTATGGATAACAGGTCTGTTTCGCCCAGTGGAGACTTTGCGGGGGCCGTAATCAACCAAGGATTCTTTGTCTCCTGTTCAATGGTAGCACAGCACCAGAGCTTAGGTGCCCAGGAAGCTGTAACTGGGCAGAGGCTAAGGGCCATTGGAGATGGAAGATAAGGTGCTTTCCTGAAAGCAAACAGCCCTGATACAGAACAGGTGCCACTGAAGATGTGATGTACCTCTCGCATCCGTGTCTGCCAGACTTCAATGAACTCAGGTGAAGAAGCGTTCACCAGCGTGGCATTCTCCGTCCAGGCAGGGCACTTCCACTTGGGGAGAGACAGCATGGCCAGGGTGGGGGTCAAGAAGGAAAAAGTTCCTCCTTGAATAATAGGCAGCCTAGAAGGAGGACAGAGGAAAAAGCTGACAAGAATGCTAGAATCACAGCTCCATTTAGGTGAGAGGAAGGAAAGCAAAATAAATTACAAACAAAACAAAACAAACAAAAAGCCCACAAACAAACAAACAAAAAACCCACCACAGTCTGGTCGTGGTCTCTGGCATTGTCTTTTGGTCTGTTCTGGCAGGTCACCATCACTGACAACACTTGGGAATTGTTGCCAGTAGTACTCAAAGAGCAATGACCACAACTGAGAGAGTTACGTTCAGTATGGAGTCAGACTGCTATTCTGGTTTAAGGATATATGTGTCCTTTAAGTTGTGACTGGGTCATAGAGCCACATATGGTGAAAAAGCAGCCAAAAGAAAAAGCTGGAGGAGGAGAGAAGGGAAAGGAAGAAAGATGCTGAGACGGAAGAAAAGTTTAGCACTGACCTGTGCCCAAATCTCACCAATATCCATTTCTTTCCTCTGTCCCCTTGATCTGCCTCACGTTTCTTCACAACCTGCTTATAAACACAATCACATACTGGCTATCCTCCATGCCATAACTATCTTCAGACTAGGAGCTAGAAATTGTGATTTATATCTTACGAGATCAGGTTTTTTTAGAGCTAATTCCTCTGCTCTTTCTCCACTGACACTGGAAAGGAAACCTACATGGACACAGCAACAAGCTCTGAAAAAGCCAGGGGAAGCCTCCAAAGTGCTTTGGCTTTATCTGCTCAGAAATCTCCCCAGGAGCAGCTCCCAAAGCAACCTCTCCTTGCGCCAGAAACCCCAGTGGCACCTGCTTAGAAAAGCAGCAGGGCAGTGATCCATGTGAATACTTCTGCAGTTTCCCTGAAGCTGAAGCATTTCCACCGTTCATCAGAAAGCACAGGAAAATGAAGGATGGCAAAGCTGTTACAGCACCACATCTCCATCACTTACAACAAGTATTTATATCACTGCAATTACTCATGCCACGTACAACCGAGGCACTGTTAGAACTAGCCAGCAAGTTATATTTGAACATCAGTCATCCGTGGAGTCACTTATTTAATATATTCATCCAAACATGTTGCAGCCTTCAAAGGATTCTGCTGGGCAAAAAAGGAAGGAAGGAAGGAAGGAAGGAAGGAAGGAAGGAAGGAAGGAAGGAAGGAAGGAAGGAAGGGACATAGAAGACTTAGTGCCACCACTGTTGAATTAACAACAGCTTTATAGCTCCTGGTGTGCTGGTCCTGAGCTGTTTTCCCAGCTGGTATTGGCTTAACATCAAGCAGGAGTGTTGATGTGAAGCATATGGGGATCATGGGTTGTTTGTTTTTTTCTGGTGATGTTTACAAGATTTAGAGGAGATGTTATGCTCTGATCATCACTGCATGATGCCTAAGCATCACCACAATGGCAAATGAGGTCACTTACCTGTATGTCCTCAGGAGCTTCTTGGATAGTCTCTAATGACCATCTGGGACCCATCTTTCCTTTTTCATGCTCTGTCACATGACTGAGCTGCAGGTTACAGTGGGTTGAGGTTTTCCACCATTTACTGCTTCTGGAGGGCTGCTCCCAGATTGTACTCACTCTTGGAAGGAACCTCCCCATTTCTACTGCCAGTTCCCACCTCTTTGTTCATGGGCCAGCACTGTATTTTAGCTGAAGTGTTTTTTCCCTGCCTAATCCCATCTCTGCTCTCTCAGACTAATTGCAGACTGCAGCCAGACCCACTCATCCACCACTTGCCCTACAACAGCCAATCTCGCTTACATTACCTCCACAAGATGAGCTGCCTCCCATTACCATACCACATAAACACATTATCACTATCCCTCCTCTCACCTCTCTTCCTCTGAATCAGTCTTTCTAAAATACAGACATCAAGAACTGTGCAGAGCACCTAGCTGAGGGCTCCTCGGGTCATTGGACGTAGCACTGATGTTTTCCAGGAAAAAAACATCCCATCAGCCTCATATTTATTGTCTTCCCCAAAGACTTGCTGGTGACTTGTGATTATCAACTACTGAAGGCTTTGAGAAAGCAATAAAAAGAGAAAAAGAGATCTGCTTCTGTTTCCCTGGGCTAGGTTTGCTTGCCATTACTTCCTTCAGCTCTGCTCCAGGCTGAGTCCAGCTTTCTGACAGGGAATGTCCTCATGCCTTATAATTGGGGCCAGCAATAAGGCAATTGCATCCTAGTGCAGAAAATGCCATTTAAGCTTATCCTATAGGATCAGCTCCTCACTGCTTAATTTGATCTGCTGTTCCTCATTCAGTTACTGAGCCACAAGAGACATTAATGAGACATTAATGTGTCATTCTCTGCCACACTTTTATCACCAAGTCCTTTTGGGGGCAGCCTGAGGGGACCTGGGGGATCTGAATCACCCAAACAGCCCACACCATAGCTGTGTGCCCTAGCCTGAATTTAACTGAACTCAGAAGAACCAAGTTGCCTCTCTTTGGTGGCCATAGTGGCCTGGCATGCATTGCAGGCTACCTCCAGGCCCCTTTCTCCATTAATCCTGCATCAATGGAGTTACCTCCAGGGAGGGGTTTGTCTACCACCATTCCTAATTACAGACAATGATGGAAAAGTTACACTAGGAAAATGCCCAGGAGGTGTAAAAAGTATTGTGATTTGCCAGTAGAAGAGTTTTAACCAGGTTATTCAGATTTGAAGGTCAATCAGTGTGTGATTTTTGCTTTTGAAGCAAGAAACACCAGTTCTTGTCAATGCTTATCAATGCTTATAAATATCTACTGGGCAGGAGTCAAGTGGATGGAGCCTGGTGTTTTTAGTGGTGTGCAGCAGCAGAACAAGGAGCAATGGGCACAAACTAGAACTTAGGAAGTTCCATACAAATATGAGGAAAATTTTTTTTACTTGGAGAGTGAAAGAGCAATGGAACAGGTTGCCCAGATAGGCTGTGGAGTCTCCTTCTCTAGATATGCACAAGACCCCCCTGGATGCCTGCCCATGTGATTTACTGTAGGGAACCCTCTTTAGCAGGGGTAGTTGGACTGGATGAGCTCCAGATGTCCATTCCAACCCTTGCAATTCTGAGGTTCTGTGTTATTCTGTTCCTGCCATAACAGAGGAAAAATAATGGAAAGAGAGAGGCAGTCCAGAGTTATGACAAAGGGAATAGAAGAAATTTTGCAAGGCCAACAAGGACCCAGGCTCTTTGGGGCACTGAGGATGCGTCTCTTACAAAGTATTTAACTTTCTCCTGAGTCTCTGAAGGTGGTGGATGAACTGCAATTTCTCCCAGTTACCCCCCTGAACTCTTTTCTGAACATCTCTGTGCACCCAGGGCCAGGACCAGATTGAAAAGGACCTGCCACAGCCATAGGATCTCCGGTAAGGAGTAGGCAGATACTGTATACTGCATCTTTTTTAATGCTTTACCTTTTGCATGACAGATTCCTTATGAGCCCAACAAAAGATGCATCAAGTATCAGGAAATGCAAAAGCCAAACAGTGAGGCAGCCCTGCAAACCTGTCGTGTACAGTGACTGCAGTATGCTTTGGCATGTGTACTGATTGCCTAAGGGTAACAAATGACCCTCAATACTAGATAAACTTTACAGCAAGCTAGCTGCTGAGCACATAGAAATTGCATCTATAAATTTTCTTGCATGTCCCATTTCTTGCAGTTGACCTACCTGACTCCAAAGAGGACTTGAAGCAGGGTGCAAATTCCTGAGACGAAGAAGATGGTGCTTATCAAGTGGCTCTGGGTGAGGAGGTCATGCTGAAGACAGAGCTCTTTGGAGAGGATCAGTGGGATGGCTACCAGACCTCCCATGGCTGTTAGGAAATGCTAAGAGCCACAGAGAAAGACAGGGTGAAGGACGCAGAACTGGCAATACTGCATTACTGGGGGAAACCTACAAGAAACTAATATGTTTGCATTTGAATCATAGTAGTATATTCATTCTCTTTTTTGATACATTAAACATTCTGTTAGGGGAAGTACTTACAAGATCTGCAGTGCACCCCCACAAAATTCTCCCACCTTCCATGCCCAAAGACCTTTTGTAGTGCTCTGGACTCCCCAGATCACTGTCAGACAGAACAGCTTTATCCCCTGCCCTGCAAATGAAACTGTTGGGAGTAGTCTACCAGGAAGGAATCATAGGGAAAGGTAACAGAATGATCACATTAAGTGAGCAGAGTACAAATGTTTCAATCCATTTCACTGGCACCTCAGTGAATAACATAAAATATTTGTAAGTTGGAGTTACCTATTCTTTGCTGCCAACAACTTTTCTCACACAGTGCAGTTATAAACAGCCATATAAATGAATGCCAAAGAATGAAAAGATCAAGCATTTTGTATTTTTCAAAAGAGTCACAGGCATACTTTAATAATGACCTTTGGTTAATTACTAAATATGAAGATAATTTGGTGAGCAATTGATGAGATAAGGTTGTTTCAGCTGGTTTGACTTCCTAATTCTCACTCATAGTACAGGATAGCAATGGTGGAATTGGTGGCACTTGGAAACTCACTGTGCTTGTTAAAGGTATGTTTAATTAAATTTACAATGTAAGTACGTTCACAAAACCTTGTTATACATTCTAAATTTAAGGTAACCATTTAAGGAAACAAAGTACAAGGTGTCCACCAAGCTCCAAGAACAGCGCGTTGCTTCCTTAGTCGTTCTGAGGGCTCTGTTCCCTGAGGCTCTGTACCCATTAACTTTGGGTTGCATTGGGTTATTTAACATGCGTGGGCATGGACATTAGCCAAAGCAGTGTGGACCCTTCTCATGCTGCCTCTGCTTAGCCATTATTGCAGTGGAAGGGCAGAAGTTTAGAAGCCTACAGACATGTTGCTGATTTCAGCAGAAGTATCTGACCTGTTGTTATTAACTGATTGGCTCCAGCCCTAGGTCTCTGCCTTACCATTTGCACATCAAGGGGGAGGGTGTTGCTGCAGGCAGGAGGATAACAATCAGTGCTCAGGCAGTGGTGGGAAGACCCTAAGGACACTAAGCCCACAGCTCCAGAGGCACCAGAACCAAAAGCACTCCCAAATACAGATTTTGTCCCCATTAACTGGCTGAACACCTGGTAAAATTCCATCCATCCCCACCCATTGCCTGCAGCCCTCTCATACCTGAATACCCAGCAAGATGCACAGGTACCAGGGGGGTATGTCAGTGACAGTGTAGGCCAGCCTGTTGCTCTGCCCCTTGCTCTTGCCTTCCTTTGGGCCCTGGGCAGCGCGATCCAGTGAGGCACAGTGGTGGCTCCCATCTTCACTCTGAACAATGAGAAAAACCATTCATTAGCCACAGCTCAGCCCTGCAGCTGCCTGTCTTGAGACAGTGCTCCATGTCTTGTGGAAGAACTTCAGATGTAATTTTCAACAAAGTCAAGATTACAAAAGAAGTGCAATGCTTTAAGAAATTGTTTATATGCTTCTTTGCACGTGTGTCTAGACAGGGAAACTTTGGAGGGTGTTTCAGCCTCAAAGAGGCATTTTGATAAAGTGTGCTAGCATCATTAGTGCCCCTTAAGGATGAAAAAATTGTAAGCAGAAGCAGGAAGGAGTGTGCATCAGGTTAATGCTTGAATGCTGCACTGGTCCCTGTTCTCTGTCCCATCCAAAGAGATCTTTTGACAAAATGCCCTAAAACAATTTGACCAATTTGACTAGAAGACTTTTCTGCATTTTGTTTCCTTCTCTTAAATCTTCTTGATGTTCTCACACATCCTTACAAGTGTTTCACCTCAATAAACACACCTGCACTGGGTCTTACACAGGACTCCTCTCTAAACCTCTCTAAAAAAAGGAATTGGGGAAAACCAAAGAGCATGAGATCCTGGTGAACCATCTCAAAGGAGCCAGCTGGCAAAAGCAGGGTGAGCTGAGGTCTCGTCTCCAGCTTGGGGACCCCAAGCACACACATGTGGTAGAGAAATCTGCTGTCAAAAGATGCTCAACCAGTTTACCACTACCAAACTTCCATTTTCTTTAATCTTCCAAGTTCTGACAGAACAGAAGGATGCTGAAAGCAAGGTGTGTGCTGTAACACTCGTGGCCTACCTACACTGGAGCTAATGCTGCAAACAGGGAACAAGGATGTAAAATCAATGTTATATTCAGTTATAAATTTGCAGGTGTGGCTAATTAGTCCCAAAGAACTGCATAATTTCTTGAAATCTCCAGCCTTGTGGCTGAGTCCCATTTATGATCACACTGTCAAAGTGTTTTGATATGTTCCAAAACACCATATATTTACCCAGACTAGGCAGGTAGGGAACATCACAGCTCCTTCAAAACAGATAGGAGAGGGCAGAGTTAATTCCAAGTGAGTTCAGGCATGAACTTCACGAGCAAAAGGCATTCCTAAACACCTCCCCATGAAAGCATTTTCATTTCAGAACAAGGGAGCATGATCTGTGGATTAACAAATAAGCAGTGAGATATTTAAGACTGCTCATGCAGGGAGTTATATGGGGACAGCTACTCCTGAATAACAACATGGATAAAGGAAGCCTAAGCTAGGCAGACAGCAGTAAGCTCCTTTCCTTTTACCACAACTTTTCCTGTGTTAACCAGGGGATATATTCCAGCCATGCTGAGTCTGTGTCAGTCACAGCCCCCTATGACCATCACATGAGTGCCTGACCCTCCCCAGGAGCTGAAGGAGAATGAGCATGGTTCAGCAAGAGAAGCATGAAGCTGAGAGAACAGGATGAGGCAGGTCAAGAGACAAATTCTGACTGAGCAAGAGGTGATGGACACAAGCCGAAACACAGAAGGCTCCACCTGAACATCAGGAAACATTCCTTTACTGTGTGGATGACCACTGACCCAGTGGCACAGGTTGCCCAGATTGGTTGTGGAGTCTAATCCTTGGAGTTCCTCAAAAGGCATCTGGACATGATCCTGGGCAGCCTGAGGTAGGTGTCCCTGCTGGAGCAGGGATTGGAGCGGATGACCCAGAGGTCCCTTCCCATGTCAGCCATCCTGTGATGCTGAGGTGCTGGAAGGAGGACAAAGCAGCAGCAGACTGGAACAGGGACAGGCCCTCACAGGAGCTGCCAGAGCTGCTGCTAGTAGTTCTCAGCCCAGCTGCTCTCATGAGCCCAGGGGAACAGGATGCCCTCTCTGTGTTGTATCTTAAATTAAGTGCACCAGGAGGGCGATCAGAAAGTGAACTGTTGGACAGGTAGAAGAAAACGGTGATTCAAACTGTAGGAAGTTACAATTCATCAGACTTGCCAGCAGCAGAACAGGTAAAAATTGAGACCATTAAAAACAGTGAAAGAAAGCCTCTTCATTGCTCTGAGCGCCTCGCTGAGGCTTTCCCTACAGCTGGCACACATAGCACTCCACCTCCGCTGTTGCCAGCAAGCTCACTCTGAGAAATGGGAGACATTGGGCATCAGAAGATTAAATGACTCCTCCATAGTCCCCTATTTGGGGGGGGGTCTATGCCAACATATTAGAATCCCATCTTTCTACTCCCACTGTCAGAACACAAACTGGTTTTCTCATTCCTAACGGAGGTTAACTCCACTGGAAGTTAACTGCGTGAGATAGGAATGGGGCTGTTGTGACCCAAGTCCTTTTCCTGTGGCACTGTTACAGCTCCCAGTATCCCCAGTACACTGCACACTGCTGAATCCACACATCATTTACACATTTTACTGCCCTGCTGTAACACCCACTGACCCCCAAATCCCTTTTTCACTCACCTCCCTCCCAGTTTACTTCAACAGAAATAGATCCACAAGACAAAGAAACATTCTTCAGTGGGCTAAATTTCTCTTGTAATTTTACTAATACATAAATGCTTCTAAACACAGACATCAGCACAAGGATCTACCAAATCACCACCTTTTCAACACAGATACACCTGCACTGCCATTCATCTACTCTATCATTTTAGAGGTAAAGGAGAGAAAAGAAGTGAAAGGGCATCAGAGGGCAGAAACTGCACTGAATCTGTAGCAGCAGCAGACTTTAGTGAGGCAGTAATTCCTCAGATTCCTGTTGATAGAAAAGCTGAGAGACCACAGACGAGCCTACTCACAGGCAGTCTGATCCCCTGGCTTTCCCTTTCTCCTCAGTTTGCAGGACTCACACCGATTTACAAGAATTACTTTTTGGGGAAGAGCAAACTCACCATGAAGCTCGGGTTATCCAGCCCGTTCAGCTTTTTGTCTGTGGAGGGGGCCATGCCTTCCAGTTTTCTTCACCGACTGCCTTGAAAAAGAAAGATGAATAAGAAGAGAAAAGCCTCCTAAACTGCCACTTGTCTGAGTCACTACAGCCCTAAGGAAACTGGATAAGCAAAAGCGGAAGCTGGACGTCAGGAGTCAGCCAGCAGCCCGTCCTAGGTGAGCAGTATCACCCAAGTGTTTCCTACCCCTTGGCTTATGTAAATGACTCCTTTTCTCCAGCTGATTGGAGGACCGGCATTCAAAACAAACTGCAAAGCAGTCTTTCTCAGAGTGAAGCAGTAGCAGATGATGCAAGAATTTCCTCAGTAGGTAAGGATGCAAGGGGGGGTATCAGAGAGTATCAAGGTATTTCCCTGCTCTCCTTGTCCAGCCTTGAAATTTGCTTCCTTATTGATCTGCAGCTGCTTTCATTTTCTGTGTGGGTTGGCCTTGTTTGAAGAACTTTGTGCTCATCTTTAGAGAAGAGCTGTCTCTAGGTGGTTTCACTTGTTCTGCATGTAAACTGCTGTGTATTTTGGCTAAGGTACAACTGCAGTCATCTTGTGTTATAGAGATTGAATGGAGATAATCAGATATATTTAAGCCCAGCCACCCTTATCTTAACAAACAGCAAACTGTGCTAATGCTCCATCAAGTCACTCTAGCCACCTCTCCCCACTTCTCCTACTTAATTTAATAGCTCCCCAAGGCAATGAACTTTGCAGACCAGCTGCAGAAAGGTCCCATAAAGAGGGGCTTGCTATTGCGTGCACAGTGATAACCCAAATCTCCTGGATTCCAAGCAGGAAGAGCATAACAAAAATCAGTTCTGTTCTCTGTTTCTTGTGTAGAGCATTGGTATTCTTAGGCATCTTCAGATGGGGACTGCATTACAGAGAGAAGACAATCATGGCTAAACATCATCAATGAAGTTATGAGCTGCTGGGTAAGTAAATCTTAAGGTATCAAAATCCTCAGGTATTCATGGTATTGCCAGATCTTCCCATATTTTTAACCACAGGGGTGCATTTCCAGCCCCACTGATCTTGGCATGAGGTCATATTTATTCCTACAAGCTCTAAATGAGAGCTCTTTCCCTGGTCAAACACCCCGGACACTTTTGCCCTCAACTCTAACCATTCCCAGCACAGAATGAGCAGCAGAGGCCACCCTGTTTTATAGACCTGCTCATCTCTTATTCACTATATGGTTGCAGTTCATTGCATATATACAAATTCACACTGTACCATATACATTGACAATGTCCAGCAGGCAGTACCAGTGAGGATACACTATTGCAAAGCCCTAAGAAAAGAAGCATTGGGTTTTTTAACTCATTTCACAAAGGAACATTTTTCTTTGCATTTCTCTATGGATACAGTACAGTTCTTGAAGCAGCCATCTCCATTTGTGTATTCTGATATTTTCCATTGCCTCTTCTCCATTCCATGAATCAGCCACACACTGTCCCTCACAACACACGACAGTATTCCTCTGGGTTAACCTTGCCTTCCCAGTAGACGTTTACGAGATCATGAATCAGGAAAGTCTTCCATCCCTTAATTTCAGCCCAGTATCTGTTCAATGACTCCTCAGCCCTGCCATAACATTCTTTTCAAATGAGACCTAAGTGCTCAATAATCAATTCATCTCCTTGGTCATATAAACTGGTGTAACAACACAGTGCAACAAGTGCACTACAATTCCTGTGTCATCTAGGCTAGCACATGAAACTGCTCACAGGAGTGTTAAGTAAACAGGGTCAGAAGAAAACAACAACAAGATTATCAGTAAGAACAACAAGTCATTTTCACAAAAAAAAAAAAACTGAGTGGAAAATCATTTTTCCATTCTAGTAAATTCTGCAGTCAAAAATGCACTTTTAGAGTACCAACAGACTGCAGGTGTTTGTGAAATAATGCAGGACATAAGTCCCAAGTAGCCCAAAGCCTGGGCAACAGAGGAGGCCTATGAGGAATGAAGACTTCACCATTATCAGACTCTAGCCAAAAAAAAGAAAAGGTTAATACACTAATATGGAATCTAGAAGTTTATGAAATAGCACAAAGTATGTACTAAAATAGATTCCATATGAAGTGCCCCAGCCCAGGATGTCCCAGTCTTGGAAGGTAACAATGACTGTAGGAGGTATCCATGTGCATGCAAATGTCTGAGTATGTCATATGTATCCATACACGTGTATATATAAGATCAGCTATAAATGACAAAGCTGAGATTTTTAGAAACAGGAATAATTCAGTTAGCAAAGATGCACGCTGAACCAGTAATATCATAAACTTGTAACAGCCTAATCAATTGTATGAATTGCTTTCAGGAATAAAGAAGGCCAGGCATTCACCTGTTCGACTTATTCAGGATGTGTGAGTAAAGAAGAACCAAAAGCTGTCATATGAATTCCCGTTAAGTTTCTGTGTTTGGTCTATCTCCTATTGTCCATCAAACTGGCCAGCTGCTCATGTCAGTAAAGGCTGTCTCAGCTTATGTCAAGGAGGCAGGAGAAGACAATCAACTAATCAAGGAAAAGCTTGGAAGCATAGGAGACTCAGCGGAAATCTTCGATCTTGACCCCAAGTCTTCTGTACCCAGAAGGAGAGCCTGGCCCATCTCTCCTGACAGGGTCATCTCTCTTGTGCTACATTTCTCCCTGAAACTCTGAGCCTTTTCCAGGAAGTACAATGGATCAATTTACAATGATGTTTTGAGATGCAAACCTGAGCTGCCCTTGACTACGCTTCAATGACCAAGGAGCTTCCTGCACTGTTTAGGAGACGGGTGTCTGTCATGGATAGAAATGACTATATTATACACTTCACTCATAAGAGAGAAGCAGAAATATATTTATTGATATAATATAGATACAACATAGTGATTTAACAATTATAGGAAAAGATTTGAGATGGCTGGATACACTTGATGATATACTGCAGAACGGGTAGGATTAAACACATACATATAAAAGACTCTCTCATTGAGTCACGAGATTTAGAGTGGACCCACTTGCATTCTAAACTCCTTGAACCATGAAAGTGAAGAGGCTAGGTGCAGCCGGATCCACTCCCAGTCCCAGGCTTGGTCAACAGATTACATCTAAGAGATCATATGTGCACAAACAATCTAAGACATTGTCTTAGTGAAGCTAAGATAAGCTTAGATAAATCTAAGATATAATCTTAGCAAAGCTAACAAAGCTTAAAACAATTAGTCACTTACTGAGGATCTGTATTGACAAGGCACCGTGACGTCAAGGTGTAAGAGATCTCTGCACAGGTGTAACCTCAAGAGGTGACCCTGCTCAAGAGGAAGTCCTGTTGTGCAGCTAGCTGCTGTGTAGCACAGCTCAAGGGGCTCTTGGGCTCTTCTCTATTTACAAAGTAAGGTGACTGACTCATATTCATTCTTTGTTTTTAGGCATGTGCTGAACCAGATGTCTACTATCAGATTTTCAGCCCCCCAGTTTGAGACAGATTTGTGGCAGTTAATCTGTTTCAGCAAGTGTTATCAGTACTGTTGCTCATTGTTGTCCTGTGTGAGGCCTTGCGTGCAAAGCCAGGCTGAAGGATGAAGTTGGGAGAATGAAAGGAGGGAGGGGAGAACACACAGTTGCAGTATCCCAGTAAACTGCAGATAGAGTGGCACCAGCATGGGGACGTACAAGAATCTATGGGAAGATGCAGATGAGGCAAGTGCCTGCGTACATGCAAGTCCTGTTACTTTCCTGAACTATGAAACAACCAGGATGGTTAGCATGGAGAAAGGTGTCTGAAGTTGAGTAAGACGAGTCCCTCCATGCAGGGCTGTGCACACACAACCCAGGGAGATGCAGATTTGGTGATTCACATCAAGCCCCTTGCTGGGAGGGCAGGTTCATCCACAGTGTTAATACAAACTTCTTGCACTAAGTCCTAGCTACTGGAGCTAGGAAAACATGACTTTAGAGGGAATGTAGGATATGAAATAAAAGCAATACAGAATAGAACGGAACTAATATGGAGACCTTGCACCAAAAAAGTTTGGAAACATCTTTCTAGCTTCTACAAAGCTAGCCCTGGTTGGTTAGCTGACTAAGCAAATGACTAAGCAATAAGTAATTTAGTCACAAAATACTTGTAATACCCTTCCTTCCATGGAACCTCCTGCAAGCAAATAGGATCACCCATGTTCACTGGCTTGAAATGACTACTTTTATGTTTGATTGTGAAAGTTAAGATTCTGCAAAAAAGTTCTTCATTGCTCACTAGTGGAACTGGATGAGTGCAATGCTTTTAGTTTTGGACTGCATACACTATTTCCTATGAGAAAAGGTTCTCATCATTAAGTACAACCAATGCAACACACTGCAGTGCACTTAGCATTTACAACAAAGTTTATGTACAAGGATGGTTGCTTAAAACACAGCAGGGGGATAAACTTAATTATAGCAAATTCTCTTAAATAGTCAAAAATAATGTCTTTCTACTTTTGAAACAGGATCTCTATACCACAGCGGGAAACAGAGTGTCAAATCCCAACCAGAGAATTACCTTTGTGTTCACTGTTCCCCTTTCCACATCTCATGGTTGTCTTTTCTCATCCAAAGGACTCAACACATGTATGTAACTGAAGTGCTAAGGCACATCTGCCTCCCTGTTGCCACTTTCTTGTGAAAGGAGAAATAATCATCACAGTGAAATTACACAGGCTCCAGTCAAGCAGCAACATCCCCTGTCTGTGTGCAACACCCAAGGTCACACAGCTCTGTTCTAGCAAGACCACTGCTGTTGCCCAGCTCTCTCAGCAAATCTGCCTTGATTGGTCCTTTCCTCTTTCCTTCTTCTTCTAGCTGCACCCATAGCCCAGCCCTCAGCGTGGGTCCTCAATCCTGTTGCTGCCAGGGCAGTGTGTCAATTCTAGGGGATGAGCACTTCCCCATGAGGAAGGGGCTTTGTGCTCACCATCTCTGTCCCACCTGCTCTCCATGCCCAGCCCTGTGTGGGCCAAACCCTGGAGCACACTGTGATCCAAACCACCA